GTTTGTCTGACAGCTTCACCCAACTGTGAGTAACACACACAGCATCTCCACTCTGGATCCTTAAAATATGCATCAGACACTGAGCTCACTTTTTGAATCTGCTCCGACAGCAAAACACCTCATAAATGTCTAAATCTACAGTTTGTAGCAAACACTCAAACTTGACGGAGGATTCGGGGCTTTTCACACCCTGAGAACCAACAAGTGTCATGTTGACACTGAGTTAAAGGGTGGGATCCGTTTACTCAAGCCTCAATATGGAAAGTCCCCCAAAAAAAACTGTAAGCACTTTGTTCTCTGGCTACAGAGGTGATGGCCAGAAACAATCCCAGAGGAAGTGAAAATAAAAGCCTTTAGTCTCCATGACGACGACCAACAAACCCTAAAATCCCTGTTTGATGACCGCACCCAAAATCACAAATAAAAGCACGACACTAAAACACAGCGAATACTTCCTGTGGTAGGATCTGAAGCTGCTGACCTCTGTTTCCCCTGAACTCTTGGGCGTGATGAGTCATTCACTGCGTGGTCAGAAAGTGGAGGTTGGACTTGATCTTTTCGTTTCTAATTTCTGCTCTTTCATGCTCATTTTAAAACGAAGCGTGGATTACCATGCGGATTACTGGAGATTAAAGAGGAACGGTATCAGACAAAAGCTGCGGTGTTGTCGTGGGGAGCAGACGGCAGCAGTCAGACAGATGAAAACAACAGTTGCTCAATAACAAACAACGCACAACAGAGCTACAGCGGTTTAACGGAGCCGATGCCAGGAGCCAAACAAGAGGCAGCTCTGCTTCATGATTAATGATGTTTTAGCAGGTACAACACTGCAAATGGCACCGAACTCAAACAGCGGCAGCATTAACAAGGTTCTTCACTGGGAACAGGGAACGGCTTTGCTGCAGACACACGTGACCCAGGACGCATTGTGTTCATTTATATACTTACACAGCACATATTTACCTTAATGCAAACTCTAATTAATGAATGCACTTCATCAATGCTATCATGCTAAAAGTCCAAGGCTGAGCTGTCACCTGGCATCGACCTACACTCTGATATATCAGCATAGGGCAGGAAACACTAAACTGTGGACGTGTGAGTTTCGAACACGACTTGTTTTTACTGATATATGTTACATGTAGTATGAGATGCTGCTGGACTTGGAAGTAACCCTGCATTGAATCATCAATCTTGATAAACGGACCATCTTCCAACGCTTCCTGCCGCCTCATGCTTCTACATCCTGAATTTAATAGGTATACTGTGGGTAGTTACTGCTGCTAAGCTGTTATTGGACAACTGTCAACTGTTCAGTCGATGCACTTCAGCCTCATCTCGCCTACGTCTACTTCGACAGAGTAACAGACTGCGTTTCAACACCCACTGAGGAATCTAAAGCGGCCACATGGGCATATAAATACAGTTAACTCTCCACTTATTATGTGAACAGCGATGCGTACATTTGAATGTGCACATAACTCACAACTACTCACAGCTCCTGGGACTGCCGTCACTCGGAATATCGGTAATTTTTAATGTCAAATCATATAAACGCGAAGTGTGAAATCTACAGAGGCTCGTGCTCTTTTATTCCTCGTCCCTGACACCCGATAAACGCTGTGTATTGATGTTTTAAATAGCAGCTGTGCCAGAAATATCTCAGTGATCTGCTGTTGTCAACATGTCAACGGTCCACTCTCCGTTAAAGTACAAATATGTGTGAAGGCCACGAGGCTAAATAAAGAGTAATAAACCCTGCGTTCTTTAAATCAGTCTGAGAGTCTCAGAGTTCTGTTAAATCATCAGAAGAATGATTTGTACACGTCGGTATATTTTGAGCTTAATAATATAAATGAGACAAATACAACAAATGCAATTAAAAAGCGTGGCTTGGATGCAGAAGCATGAATTGGACTAGTTTTCTGTGTTGCTACCCCCGAGCTCTGCAAGTCTCCTGTTCCACATTAGGTCTTGTCCTATTTTTAATACTTTTAAATCTGAATGAAAGTCCAACCTTCTCAGGGCTGAGTAGACTCCATTTCTTTGTTCCAGTTTTAGTTTCACGTTGTCACTAAAGAATTTTGTATGAAACATGTACATCTTGTCATCATCATCTACGTGGGCTGCGTCTACCGATGAGACATCGACTGGTCAGTACACGTGGGTGGGCCTGGCGTTGGCGTGAAGTCAGTTCAGCGATTGTATTTACTTACTTTTTAAAATATAATGCTAAACTTAGTCTTTCAGGTTGAACGGAGAAAATGAATGAAAATCTCCCCTGTAATATCATTATGAAATCCTTGTCATTCCAACACTAAATCATCAGAGGTGAGGACCTGAAGTAAACCTGCGAGCAAAGTCCCAACTCCCCCATAAAATATTTTCACCCAGCAAACAAACCGTCCCTCGGTTCAGTTTGATCCAGACTCTCGTGGCAGGCTCATGCACTGAGGCTCCTTTCCCCCCATGTTTTTACTTTGGTTCACACTAAACTGAAAAGTCCGGAGGTCCACAATAAACAAGATGTGAAAGCACCACATGCATTATGGCTGTTTCTCAGGAAACACACACATCTGTGCTACATACTAGGCAGCGGTTACTTGTAAATAATTCCGTTTGGGCAGCATGATGTGTAAAATGTCTAGGTTTTTGGGAAGTTCTTACAATAAAACACAAGAAGGTTATTTTAAGTTAAATGTTATGTAGATGATGACTAGATATATGAGCCACCCTGAGACACAACAGTCCTGCAGACTGTGACGTGAGTAATTACAGTCTATGTGGAGCTGCCACAGTTTGTGTGTCTGTGGACACTCAGGATGATTAACTGACTCTGCTATTCCTTAATGAATCAGATATTACATCTATGAGACGGATGGACCGGGAAAAAAAGCCCCTACACACGGATCTGAGTCTCGTTTGAGTTAGCGGAGGAGATATTATCTCTGGCTGAGAGATGGGAAGACGTGGAAGTCGACTGAACCGTGAGTGGATTCGGCTTAATTCTGTCGGTCTCTGCCGGGAAACAAACACTCGCAGCTGTCTGCAGAAATCAGCCCGATGTCTTGTCAACACAAACAGTGCAGATGAATTAGTGAGCAGACTTTCACCGTCTATTCTCTTTGTGCTCATAGTCCTCATTCAAGTGGAAGTCTGTGCAACTACTGACAATCCGTGCAACGAGCTGCACAGGCAGCATTTATTTTTAAAAATCAGAATAACGATGCTGCCTGTGTAGGTGGTGCAAGAGTTTTTTTATCATTCTCGCTCAGTTGTTTTGCACAAATAGAACTTAAAAATACAGATGTGTTGAAACCTAACATCAGTGTTGCTCACTTGTTGAATGAAAGGAATAGAAATTAATTAAAATACATTTTTACATATGATATGATGGTAAAAGGCCAATTTTTAATCAACCTAAATATCAAACAGTCAGGCTCTAGTTTGCAGATTCTAAATTTGGATAAAAGAGCACTGATAATGATCGGTGCATCCTATCGGCTGACATCCCAGAATTGAGTTTCAGCGTTTGTATTTTAGGGGGAAACTGGTTTTGAGCATCACTATGCTAAAAACTTTTAAATTTAAAAGTCAGAGTAAATAGTGAAGCAGCAGGAGGAAGCAGAGAGAAACAGATGCCAACAAAAGCTGTGAGAAACTGTCCAGAGTTGACATTAAGAACCACTCAAAGTTCCAACTCCTCCTGGGAACCACAACACTCTCCTCCAGCTTTCCGTGGTCACAGATCCGTCCAGCAAACAGCAGGATGTATTAAACAATTCAGCCGTCGGCTTCGATACACTGCACAGTTTGTCTCTGCTGAGATTACACCTCCCGAGAAAAAAACCCTCCTCGTTCCCCCCTTTTTCCCCCCCCTCACCCCCTCTTCTTCGTCGCACCAAACGAGAATCAGATGTTTAGCAGAGGAAGAGCGGACCCCCACCCATCCTGCTTCGCTGGGGAGGTGGGACAGCCTCTGTGTGAAGCGCGCACATTGACAGGAAGTTTAACATTCCTCCCAACTTCCATCACTGGCCGGCAGCTGAGGCAGAGAGACCTGGCAATGGCTTTTCACGAGGGTAAACGCGGCACTGCCACTGCTCCATTAAAAGCTTTCATTGGCAGTTATGAATAAGCTGCAGTTGACATTACCTCTGGAAATTAATGCAGAGAGATTTATTTTATCACCTGCTCTTGGCTCGGCTCTACTGTAAAGAGTGTGTGGAATTTGCCCATGAGGCTTAAAAATTTAGGGGCTGAGGCTTAGAAGACATCCTCCAGCGCTGCCCTGGAGCTGCCCTGTCAAAAGCTTGACTTGCCTAAACAAAGACAAGGCCCCTTTCACCCTGCAAATTCCTTGACAACTGCTGCAAGCTTCCTGCTGGCATTTGATATGCTCCATTTCGTTCCCATGACCAAACTCCAGTCATGCTGAGGCTTTCGCTGAGCAGTTGAAGGCTCGTCTCGCTGACACTCCGAAGCTTTCTCTGCACTCTGATGTGAAACTTCCCTCAACTGTGAACTAGCAGGAGCGTTGCAGTGATTTCAGGTTTTTTTTTTCTGCTTTCTGTGCCTCAAACGATGCCGCAGACAAGACTGCAAGTCTCACTGCAATTACAAGGGAAGACAATGAGGAGCCACGGGACATCACGTGCAGTTGTTTCAACCCCGAAGTAGTTCGGACACACTTTCTGTGATTTCTTCCTTTGGTTTGTTTTCATTGCAGTGGACGACGAAGCTTGTGAAAGCTTGTGTGGTCCTCGGAGTTAAGTAAATTTAAGGTCAGATAAATGGCAGAGCTGTCGGCAGAACAACTTAAAAAAACTCCTGCCTCAGATATTTACCAACCCACTCCTGGAATTTGAACCAGCGAGCTTGTCATAACCACCACGATCCTCTTTCCATGTACCACAGAGATCATCCCCTGGCGTCTTATCTTTGTGAAACCAGAACCAGCCCCTCTCTCTCTCCCCTCTTCGTCTTTCGGTTGCACTCACCAAGCTGACTCTGTTTTTCCCAGCATGTGGTTGCCAGGTTGGACAGTTCCCGGTATTTCTCCGCCAGCTGGAGTTTGCCGTTATTAAGACGGGGTCGCCGGGCGAGGCTCTCCTCGGCCAAGCTCCGGTTGGAGGTCTGCAGCGTCTCCCTGTCCACCTGAAGCTCCTGAAACTGAGCAGAAACGGTCTGATTAAAATGATGAACATTAGTGGATTCAAACATTTAGCATGCATGAGATACAGCTGCGTCAGTGCGTCACATGAAGCTAAACTGGAAAATGGAAATTCCTGTAAATATATCCATGGATTAATCAGATTTATTTTAAAGCGTATACTCTACAGCAGCAATAATTAAACCCGATTACACAAAAATCTAATATTTTCTGTTTCATCATCTCAAATATGAGGATTTGATGTTTTTCTTAAAGGAGCTTAAATATTTTTTAATTTGACCTGAATTTCTCTTCCAATTTATAGACAATCTAACAGACTGATTCATTAAACAGTCAGCAGATAGATCAATAAAGAAAATGAAGGTTTGCAGTTTAGTTAACCTAATTTACATTTTATGGGTGTAAATATGTTTTTCAGTACATTTCTTCTAAATGGAGAAATGCTCAATTTCCTATTTATCAAATGTGATTATCAGTCGCTCGTGTCAACATGTGTGCAACCCTTTTGCAGACAAGCCACTCTAAGAAATACTGCAACACTAGGTTGTGCAGTTGACACCATGTTTGCCGTTTCACTGAAGCTGCTCGTGGTGTTAAAAATGCAGAGAGAGCAGTTATGCAAAAGAGACCCTCTGAACGCTTTGTTTCCGTTCAGCTGCAGGAAAGTCGTGATGGAGCCTTTACAATAAATTGCTGAGAGACAGTCCCGGTGGTTTTTGTGGCCTATTAAACACAACAGTTACACTCACTGCAGATGCATGAGTTCATACAGTCTGTGTCAAGCCAGAGTTGAGATGGAGTCACGGCTGAATGACAGCAGAGCTATGAGTGCTTTTGTGAAGCCACGGTCTTAATTGTCTGTTGCTGATGAGCACCTGCATACGACCTCATCTACTCTCTGTGTAGTCTCTGGAGGCCACGACGCCACAGACACGAGTAACGGAAAGAACGGCCGAAGTTAATTCAAACGTGATAACACAGTAGAGCTTTTGTTAACCAGCCCCCGGTGGCCGGCCCGAAACTTTCTACAGTCAACAAAAGAACTTTAAATATTTGCAGGAGTGTTCGTGTCAACGGGGGCCACGTCCTGCCACCTGTGTTTTCTTCCTCTGTTAGTGTTATTATTTCCTGTGTCGTTTCCTTGAGCAGCGGTCGTACTTAAAAGGAGACTTTTATGCAGAATATGACTCTTTTAAAGTCCAACTGGGAAAGGCCGATTCCATCAGGGCCACAGATAATTTGAAATAAATATTTCAAGTGGAGAAACCATCTATGAAACTGGCATTTCATTTAATTAATTTAATTAATTAATTGTTTTCCCATTAAAAAGAAAGACACATGCTTGTTATACTTCCCGAAGCACTGGCTGATTTATTCAGATGACTCATGAATATATTCAGTTTAGTCTCAGAAAATCTGAACCTTTGAGAAGCTGTAACCACTGAATGTTTGACAGTTTTGCTTATAAATTGATTGGCAAAGAAGTTTTCCACTCAATTTTCATTTTACTGACCAATTAATCTATGAATCATTGTGTTACAGCATAGAAATACATTGAAAGGCCTCAGTAGAAAAATACAGACCATAAGTATAATCAAAAATGGGTTCAGTACAATAAAAACCTTCCGGATTCTAACTTTCAATAATAGAATGTTCTTGTAAATTAGCCGCTTACGATAAAAGGTAAAAAGAAATCTGACTCAATATGTTAAATGTAGGCTGGTGATGTGGGGGAAGGGTGGGGACTGTCACTAGACCATAAGAAAGCTATAAATTATTAAAACTACTCCCACTCACTCAGTGTTGCCAAACAGTACAGTCACGGCACAGTACTGTAAAGAGACGCTTCAGAGACTCAAACACTGACACAAAAGCCACTTTGTGAACCACACGCTGCAAAAAAACCTGAATCGTCTTTGAAAACTCCATCAGTCTCAACATTCCTGCCGCTCTGCCCAGCCGGATACATTTCTTGCTCAACTGCTTTCATTCAGCAGCGAGTCGCTCTGGGGCCTGGAGGCCGTTTCACTGGGTCCAGAGTTGTTTGGTGCATCTGTCTCGCATTTTACGGGTCGTCAAAAAGGACGTTTGAGTCACGAGTCCAGAGGAATTTGCAGAATGTTGCCTGTGGTCGAATGAAGTGAGAAACTACAGATGGGATGTTCATTCAAAAAGAATAAAAATAGCACAGCATGTTTCAGACTTAAAGCTCAAACATGCGTCGCATTTCCTTCAACAGGAATCAAAACGGACGCTTCCATTTCCGGCTTCGACTTTTCTGCTCATCAAACAGTCACTGCTGCAGTCTTGGGGGGGGGGGCTCTTTGTATTGTGATGCAAAGCCAGTAGAACAGAGCTGATAGTGTTTTCTTCATCCCTGACAAATGACACTTGGGGAGCACTTAGGAGAGTCTGGTTCTCTGCCGGACAAGACGAGGAGCGGCGGCGCTGTTGTTTTCTGCGGTTCGACGTGTCCGACCACATGAAATGCAGTAAATAGGTGCTTCTCTTTCATCTTGTGTGAGGCTCAGGCCTAATGAGACTTTTGGAAACCAAAGGCGTGAGTCTCAGATGAAATTGATGGGGTGCGAAGTCTTTTCCATGAAAGAGAATCCTTCATGTAACACCAGGCCTGCTCTGTAATAAAGGGATACGCATGTTCTCCAAAACGTGGAATGGAAAAATTAACTTAACTCTCTCCTCACACCATTTGGGATGAGTTGAGACCTTCGTCTTTCCTTTTCAGGAATAAAATGAGGTTATCTGTCCATATTCACACACCTGGAAACACATCACGTGGCCAATAATGTGTAAACAGGAAGCAGATTGTCTACTCTGCAGTTGGTTGCTTGGTTACAGAAAATACTGAGCACCAGTGGGCGAGTTGATTGAAGTCTGCGATGGATGTGAAACTGGAAGAATACAACGTCAGGATGAAAAAAAAAAGGGACACACGTAGAAGACATCAACTCGGTAAGACAACATCACATCCTGCCTGCTGCACGCTTCTCCAGGACGCCACCTCGCACCTGAATGGTCTGCAACAACACTGAGCAATACTGAGGAAGTATTTCATGTCCAGGTTAAAGTTCTGCCCTCATTCGATCTCATTTGTTATGATTGTGACACTCGCTGCAAACCTCAACAAAGCAAAGCAGCTACAGAGCATGTGAGGTCACAGTGAGTCTTTGTTCTCTCACCAAACATTTCTACCTGAACACCGGCCTCCGCTCTTGAGGACTTATGATAATATTTATCCACCAGTCTCCGCGTTGGAGGGTCACAACAGAGCTGTGACTCTGGGAGGAAGCTCCGGTGGCACCGACAACAAAAACCTGATGTTTCAGATTGTTGAACGAGCCCAACGTGTCGCTTCTTGTTTGAACAGTCGATGAAAAGAAAGAGAGGAACACTGCCGCGCCGGCTGTAGTGTTCATGAATCATTATGATTGATTAAACTCAGCAGTTTACATAACAGTCATCATTTACATGAAATTAATGAAGCGTCCTGCTCGCAGAGCTCATGCGGAGAAGAAAGACGGGTTGTGAAATCATCATTTTGTGCAGCCATGACAACATATGGTTCGCATTTTGATTTATCTGCAGGAGAGCACATTAATGAGAGTTTTATATTATTCTTTAGTGACAGATAAATGAGACGCTGGGTGAATTCTCACTATAACAACCGCAAGCTCGCTGGATCGAGTCTCTGAGTCACTGAGCTCGACTCCCAGGGGAGAGTTGTATGACCCCCTCAGCCAGATTCAACCACTTTGGCTCCATCGTCCCGATTCATTATCAGAGCCAGGTTTCAAATGTCACATACTTTGTGAAAGAACAAAAAAAAAAAGTCATGGCTTTCTCTTGTTTCTAAGTAAAATCAAATGACATGTGGGTTTTGCTGTCTTAATTAATCAAAGACGAAGAGTGCAGTCGAAGACTTTATCGCAAAGGACCAGTTTGGCTGTCCTCAGAGTGCGTGGCAGCTATTTCAAGTTTAATTTGTTTAATCTGTAAGTTAAAGCAGCAAGAACATGTACGATGACGAATAGCCCTCACTGGTTATATTTCACTACACCCACTACTGTTGTCACCCCACCCACAGCTATGAAAAAGCAATGAAATTCAATAGCCTGCTGAATCCTGATTGAGTGAGTCAATTCAGTTTGAGCACCCCCAAGGCACACCTAATGAAAATGGGACCCGTGAAAAAGTTTGGAAATGTGTGTGTACTTGTACTTATATATTTGTGGGGGGCACAGACCTTACGGAGTGCGGACATTTTTGGAAAGAGAGGACATTTGGGCCTGTCTTCAGTTTCACAAAGGCTTGTTTGAGGGTTTCATGGCTAGGGTTAGAATTAGGGTTAGGTTAGGCGTTTAGCTGTGATGGTTGAGGTCAGGGGAAGAGGCGGACAAATGCATTATGCTGCCAATGAGTGTCCTGAGAAAGAAGTACAAGAATGTGTATGTGTAAGAGAGGGAGATAGATAGAGAGGGAGAGAACGGGGAGTATTGTTTGAAACCAGGAAGGTCATCATGTAGCCCTCCCAGACATGCATCACAGACGTGCAGAATAATACACGTGGAACTCCTCTGAAGCCCTTGCGATTTAAGAATTTCTACGCTCATACGTGAAACTACACACATGAAATGATCGGAGTATGGAAGTTTTCTAAAGCCCTGACATACCTTTTCAATTCGGCATTCATCTGGAGCAACAGAAAACATTTCAGTGCAGGAAAAGTGCAGTTTTACTTGAAATGAAACAGGCTCACTAGAGCCTCTCAGAAAATCCTCTGAGGCAAGGGGCCATTGGAGGACTAGTTGCAAAAGTTGCATTTCTATAATAAAGGCTGTTGCTGTGTGTATATAAGTAAAGCCGAAATTGATATTATGTCACGAAAGATTAATAGATAAGTCAAATCCTTTTCCAGGTAGAATGCGCGTCCACAGGCGGATGAAAACCCCTAAACTGCCAGATTTTTAAGCGGAGCTCGGCGCAAGACAACGGCGCGTTCTGGGGTCTTCACGCCGGGCTGCGGAGCTTCGTGGACACTTGTGGATTAAAACAAACACACGCGGAGACAACGCGTGAATCCGTCTGCGCTGAGTTTGTGTTTATAAAACTAATGGACGTGAAAGGTGCCCAGGAGCGAGAGAGAGAGGGGGTGGGGGGGTAATTTGCACGAATCCGAACACTCGCCACGCAGACAATCGATGAGCCTGGAGAAGCGGATTCACGCAAAACACCGCATATTTCACGCAATGAACCAAAAACACCCACGCGTGAATTTTCCGGGACAAGAACGCGGTTGGACGCGGGAGGAACACACCGGGAACACACCGGGAACACACCGGGAACACACCGGGAACGCGGCGCGCACAGCTCCCAGCACTTCGGGGGGGACTCACCGTTTCATTCAGGCGGATGATCTGATCCATCTTGTCGTCGCTGTGCAGCAGCTCCCGCAGCTCCGCGGGGCTCAGGGCTCTGTAGCCGTCCGGACAAGAGTTGCTCTCCCTCGCTCCGGACATGTTCCCCCTCGCACTGCGGCTGTGGACGATCAGAGGCGGACGATCCGCACCGCGCTCACATCGCTCCCGTCGGAATGTGACGCGATCCGCCCGCATGCAGCGTCAAGCGGGGGGGAAGCAGTTCAACGTTACACTTCCTGTCCGCACCGTCAGAATAAAACATGTTCTTGACCGCTGTCATGATCCTCCTGATACCAAACACAATAACTCATAATAATAATAACAATACAGTTTTTATATACTTAAAAAAGTATAAAGAAAGCAAATTATTCGTGGTTATTAAGAATCAATTGACGAGTGATAATTCGATTTGTGCTAAAAGATAATTCAAGCAAGTCTCAAGGTATTAAAATGAAATAAGACAAAATGTATTTATGGTGTATTTCAAATAATGTAGCTTGAATTGATTTCAAAGTTCAGCAACAGTAAAATTTTAATATCACAATTTATCCTTACAAATCTATAAACTATCTTGAATTGCACGTACTGTGTAAATTTCATAATAGGACAAAGGGAATGCCCTAGATATAAAGAAAGCAACAATTCATACAATTTAGATGAAACACACGAGTGAAAACATCACTAAGATTATTTCATATTCAATTCCTGCCAAAAATCCCTTCACTGAAATCGCCCCCACTGGAGCTTTAAGTGTTTCTGACTTTCTACAAACAGTAAAGCTGCAGCGAGTATTTACAACTGGCACAATTTCAAGCATTCAATCAAACAGGATATTACCGTGAACATGGCCGGATTAACTTGCTGCTGTGCCCTGGGGCACAGGCGAGTGAGTGGGCCCCTTTGTTAACCATCATTCCCCCATTTGCTCTAAACGGCTCTATGAGAATAACGTCTGTCCACAGGATTGTTTTAATTCCAATAAACATATCAACTTAAAGTAGATTAACTATTATATTAAATTAATTTATATATATTTTTTGAAACTATCTTATAATTGACTGCTGCCAATTGCAGTTTTTGCTTTTTGTTAGATTAATGCCTTGAGCTGTAACCTGACTTCCGGTTTAAGCCTTTCAAAGTTAAAGGCCTCACTCTATTCTATTTAAATCAACTCAATAAGTTTCATGTAGAGGTGTCAAGCGCCCTCTGGGTCAGAGCTACATCGCAGAAACCATCAGTGATCAGTCAAACTTTATTGTCCTCATTGGGTCTAACAGTCTGAACAAGGTGCGACCTCCTCCGTCTGTGAGAGAGAAGATAATCGGAGGCTTTTCAGTTTTCTGTGAATGAAAAAAAATATCTGTAACCGAGCTGTTCTTCCTCATTTTGCTGAATTAACTGTTTGAGCTGTTTTGCACATTAAAGTCTTTCGCCCACTTTTTGTCTTGCGTCATGTCTGTGGCGAGCCCCCCCATCACACAGCTCAGGAGCAAGTGAAGCCGTGTGGTGACTGACAGTGTGTTATTATGTGGTCGGTGTGATGGATGACTTCATGAATGTAGGTCAAACTATTGGCTTTGGGGTTTTTTGTCATAAACATATCGAAGTTAATGTAATGTGCTTTCTCCCCTTCACTAATATTCAGACTCAGCGTGGTGCGGCTCAAGGCACAGACACAATGTATAGGTTGCATATGAGAGGCTTCACCAAGGACTGCAACCACCAGGGGGCCCTCAAGCCAACCAGCGTGAAAAAGAAAGTAAAGTAGGTAATTAAAAAAAGTAAAATTGTGTTCGAGGCCATGAATCATTTGAATTTGATATTTAGTTTATTGCAGATCAATCAGCTTTAAGCAGCAGTGGAAAATAGATCTGACAATTTACTCCACGTTTATTATTGAAGTACTTAAATATTGAATATTGTGTTTTATAATTTGAAGGATTCTTCTCAGGCTGTGATTTTACATTAAAAACATACACAAACATTAAATTCAATGAATCCAATAATCCACACATGGGTAACTGTGTCTGTGAAAGGAGCAATCACACTTTACATATTCTGTTAACATTAGTATATAGTATATACAATATATACACATCTGATAACAGAGTGTGACCAAGCTGTTGATTAGTTTTTAATATCTGCTTTAAACTTCTTTTCTGTGAAAACGTTTACAACTGAATGATATTTGCTCTTATTTACACTGAAGAATCATTTTTATTTATTTACATGATTTGATGTATTTCATTGTTAAAGTTTTAACAGTGTTCCACTGCACAAAAAAATTATTATTATTATCATTACTGTTTTATTGTCATTTCTGTTTGCTTGCTTATGAAGAAATATCCTATCTTTATAGTTGCGTTAAATGTTATCGACTTCTTAGTTTACACATTCACCAAAGACACATTTCTCTAAACCTCTCGACTGGTTTCGTTTAAATAACTTTACAAGGCCCAGAAATATAAAATCATTAATTATTTGCATCTGTCTTTTTGCTTCTCTCTTTATCTCCAGGCAGAAGAGTTTTTCTTTGCCCAATGATTTTCTGTCATTATGTCATTAAGGCGTCTCCCCCGCTGACTGTGACAGCACTTTTGGGTTTGTGACCGGACGACCGGCAGCAGTGACAGCTTCACCACTTCCTGCTGACTGGTGCTCCAGCTGCTGCCAAACAGAGGTTGCCTGTGTAAACTCTGGTTTCAGTGGACGAGGCGCTCGCTCTTTCTTGTGGATCGAGGAAATGTGTGTTGGACAAATCAGCCATGAACAGAAGTAGTGAAATAAAACCTCTCTTAAACTCTCCTGCAGTCTGGAGGCTGTTCGATTAACTAATGTATTCATTTGTTCATTGGCTCGGTTATTTATAGCTGCATTACTTAATCAGTTCGCATACCTCCTTCACTTCACTTACTTCTACGTATTATGAAGTACCTAAAAGCAGAACCAGTGAAATTGTGCGATTAGTCCTTTAATAAAGAAAGTCTGAAACAGGAACCTGTGGTGGCTGCAGGTGAAGTCAGGGTAAAGGTTGAGTGGGCGCAGACACGCTAACGAGACTAGAAGTAAATCTGTGTGAGGCCCAAGGATCCGCTGGAGGATGATGGTTGGAGGAGGCGTCCTGGAGGAAGGAGGATTGATCAGTGACACTGTGAGGATTCACACGAGTGGGCAAACTAAAGCCCGCTCAAACCTGATTGGCCGAACTAGAGACGGAACCGAGACGACCTCCTTCCTCCCAAGTCTTGTTCCTCGCCAACAGATTCGGAATATTCACACGTGGAATCTGTTCATGGAGATTACATTGGTACATAAAGTAAAGCTGGCTGAAGATTCCAGTGATAAAGAACCAAACCTCCAAACTGGACGAACAGCAGTTTTTCTTAGTTCACATAAAATACACAGTGATTTCGTCGGTTACTTCCTTGTTCATAAATAATATCAAAAAATACAAATGATCAAAAGCATTTTCTGAAAATCTAGAGTCAAAAGTGTCGCTGAGGTTAATCTCCCCATCTCTCTATCCCACGTCATCGTAGTCCTCCTCATCCTGGTGTTCATCCTCGCCTCCGATGTCGTCGTAGTCCTCGGTGGAAGCGTCGTCGTTGTCTGCGTCTGGATCGAGGTTCTGCGGAGGAGGAGGAGGGAAGAGATCCCGCTCATCCTCCACCTTCACATAGTCGAACTGCGCGTCCGTGGCCTGTTCGTATTCCGTCTGCGCCTCCTCGTAGTCATTGTCCTGTGGTTCAGCCAGGTTTTCATAGCTCTGGGACTCTGAAACAACAAATACCACACAGAGTTCTTATTGAATAAACTGAAATAATGAAGCATACAGAACCCAAATAGTCATTTACCAGAATTGATTTTCAAGATTAGTCCAACTTTCATGTGACTGGTGTTTGAATGTCTTTGTCAAATGTTTCGGTTTATCATGTTTATTAAAGAATGAATTCATTGATCAGATAAAATGGTCACAGGGGAATAATCCAGAATAAAAAAATGAAATCGTTTTAAAATAAGCTACACCTCAATCATCATGCTTATCTAAGTGAGTAACATTTCAAAGTAAAGCTCCACTCCACTGAATAAAGTGTGTGCTTTGGTCTCACACTGGAGTCCGGCGCTCATTCACTTCACCGTGACATCGTCCTGTGGTCATGTGTGTTTGCTTTGTGAACCTGAACCCACGCGACAGCACCGACGTACTCATCCACCCGTCAGATTTTGAAACACCAGATTTTGTGATGTTTTGTGTCCAGTTATCAGGTTGATGTGGTGGCAGTGAGCGGAAACTGTGTGTGGTGGAGTTGAATTTAAAAGAAGAAGAAGAGTGTGGGTGGATTTTTGGGGAAGTGCCGCATCATATGATCCATCAGAGTCAGACCTTCAGAGAGAAACTGTGTCCGAGGAGGAAGAGGAGGCGTGACGCTGCTCGGGCTCCTCTCCTGGTAGTTGTTGCCCCTGAGGAAAAACAAGAACAGCAAAGTTTTAGTGATTAGTGAAATCTGAAATGATACTATTATAAATACTATCTGTACTTATGTTATCACCGTTTTACTATTATACTAATAGTACATAAAAAGCTAATGTTATTTTAACAAAGGTTTGTTGTTGATGTCACATGAAAATGTTTTTTTAATTACCAAGAATTCATCATTAAGAACTTTGTTTTTCTTCTGTTATTGTAATGATGAAGGTATTTTTCCTCAAAAAATAAAAACGAGAGCAAAAGTTCAGTAATAATAATAACTGAGAAACTGAAATAGTAATAGTGTGTGACAGGGCTCCTCAAATGTGTTTTTGAAACTCTCTGAAGCCGCAGTGAAACTAGAACCAGCTTCTGCTTCAGGGGAAAGAAAACCTCATTTAAAATCCGACTGACATTTGTAGTTAACTGTAAAAATGAAGAATCCAGACCTGGTGCCTTCACTTCATACTTAATAAAGGACTTTGAAAGACTACATTCTATCTTGGTGTTTACTCAGTACGTTTTCTTTAATTGACCTTTAACTCTGTATAATTAGTTCCCTGTTTAATCAAAATCTTCCTGGTATTTCTTTAGAAATTCACAGAAATGTAACAAACTCTTCATCACGCTGTGTCACAGGAAGTGATAATAACAGCAGGACGGAGACGACTGACCACTCAAAGTGCTTTGACACTCAATTTGAAGTTTGTGCTTCTAATAAGCCAAATCTATGTATTTAATATTTAAAATTGAAAAAATATACTGAATACATTAATGCATTACTCGACAAAGGAGAGCGTTCCTCTCTGCAGCTTCGAGATTCTGTGTTTGCCTGTGGAAAAAAAAAAAAACGGAGAGAGAACATCCAGTTAAATAAAAGTTACATAAGAAAAACCCAGAAAACTCCTCAATTAAAATTTTACAACTCTTTTAGTCAAATCTTCAAACATCATGAAAGCACCAGAGGGTCTCTACTTCAGTGAGCTCATTAACAGCTGAGGCCTGGATCATGTTCCAACAAACCGGGACAAAAACAAATACAATAGGATTTTTAAGAGCATATAATGAGGATGAAATAGGGCATGCTGTAAAACCCAGTAATAAATATTCACATTCACACACAGCCTCTTAATTCTTATTATATACATTCAGTGTTTCACATAGAAGTGTATTTTATCTCCGCATGTGTTTTTACTTATGATTATTAGTTTGTTCTTTATTTATTCATCCGCAGCCCAGTTTCCCAACAGGGATCATTAAAGTTTCATCTCAGCTAATCAAATCTAGAGGGAAACCCCCTAATAATAGCAATTCATACAATTATAATTATTTTCCTTTGCCGTCACTGTATTATACTACATGCAGCATACTAGCATAGCAACACTGACAATGCTTTAGTTTCCCTTCCTGTTATTTTAAGTTGTGATGCAGATCTGCAATGTGTTGGTTTTTATTACAAATGAAACTGCTCATTTCATTTAACTGGAAATTCTTCTTTCCCATGAATTGGCAGATGTTTGAGTTCGCAGGCCGAGCACATTTGTTTGTTTGCACGTGATTTGATCGACAGAATTTAGTTAAATACATTTACCCAAGTACTTTTACATCACGATACTTTATGATTGTACACTATACTCCACCTCAGAGGGAAATATTATACTTTCTACTTCATCTTATGACAATTTTATACATTTTTTCAAGATTCAAATTGTAAAAAAAAAACGTAGTCTTATAAATAACGTAAAATCCAAAATAATATTCAAAATGTGTTCCACACTGGCCGAGTACAACAATAAAACACAATTTAAACATGAACAGTTGGGTGGCACTGATCCACTGATATATGTAACAGGTATAGCAGTACAGTTTATGAGTATCGATGAAGCACAAAGGCTGAGTTGACTTTACGTTTAAAAACTCATAAATGATCATAAAAGGATTTTATAGAGACAATTTATGGATACGTAATAGTTCTGTGGTTCACGTTTTCTTTTCCCCCTCATGTCCTTTTGTAATCAATTGTGTTCATCATTTCACGATAGTGTTAATAGCAGATATGTGTTTATGAAGCTTCTGTATTCGTTAGTACCGTTGTTTATAACTGTTTATGATACAAACCAAGGAAACAATAGTATAAGTGGCAATAGCAGTACTATTAGCATATAGGGTGTACCGTACACTTCATGTCAGGTCAAGTTGAATTCAAACTCAAGCTGGACTTTCGTTTTGATTTTGTTTGTCATTATTTTGTTCAGTTGACGTCTGTAAAGAAAATTGTATCTCAGGCTCCAGAAGTTTTCACTGTTTTCTCTAGAACTTTTCTTTTCTTTCCTTTTTCACCAGAGACTCGTTTCCAGGAAAAAACTCAGAGTCAAAGTCTGTGGATTTTCCAGAGTAATCAGATCATGCGAAGTGAAGTCGAGTCAATTTTATTTATGTCGTCCAAAATTATAAATCACAAAACTTCGCCTCGAGGGGTTTAAAGTCTGGACGGCCTCGATTCTTACACGCTCTGTTTGGATAATGTAAACTCCCCTCCGAAAAAAAACACCTTTAATGGGTGAGAGAGGCCGAGAGGAGGGAAGACGGGGGGGGGGATCCCCTGTTCGGGACAGACAGCAGATGGTCGACATTTATCACTGAAGTGTGATGGTTCGTCTCCGTGAGGTGGATCTCTCATAACTTCTGCAGTCACTGACAAAGCAGCTGCGGCTCAGGGGGCAGAGCGGGTCGTCCACTTATCAAAAGGTCAGTCGTTGCATTGGTTTTGATCAAGATACTGACGGCTGCACCAACGCTGTATGAATGTGCTTCTGTGCTAATGTTAATATATTCGCAGATGATTGACTATTGGAGCTGATTGGTCAAAGGTCAAAGGTCAAGGTAGGAACTATCAGAAAAACACCTTTTCATAGATTCCTCCAAAATCTACAGCGCGCTAATTTTCTATTGATTTAAAAAAAAATGCATGTCCTCGGGTCTCTCTGTGTCTTATTGGACTAATGACTCAAAGAAATGATTCATGATTTCATGGTGCTGACGACGTCATTGTGACGTCACTACAACTAGCGTAGTAATGTCTGACATGATTATTCTGATCGACCAATCATCGGTGATCATTCGGTATAAACTGCGTCACGATGGCGTCATGACGAAATTACATCATTACAATATCAAAAAGTTAGCATTGCCCGATATGCAGCATCACCCCTCCGATGTTTTCCTGTAAATATTGATGCGTTAAAAGTGTGACGCTAATGTTACTATCAGTACAATTGTGGGTAATTTGAACAACTTTATAACTTCTGAGTGGTTCAAGTACAACATGATGTATTTCTTATTATAGCAGCGTATAAAGTACAATACATCCCCTTGACATGTATTAGAGAGACTCATATTATACTTTGGCAGATAACCTGAGTAAATGTATTTAGTCACATTGTGACGTTTACTTTTCCCACGTGAATGTGACACAGAAAAATCCTTGAAACAACAAATCCTACACTAGATTGAGTGTTTCAAGGATTTTTTTATATAATGTCAAAGTGCAGGGTCTGTGTTTTGTCCTGATCTCCAATATTCATCCATAAAAATAATTTTCTGTGCGTTTCATTTTATCTTGTTTCACTTTAACGCACCAACAAGAAGTAGCTCTCTTGGTGTTATGATGAACTCAAGGCTATTTTAACAACATAACCACAAACGCTGTGTAAGTCAGTGAGCTCTGGTTACAAACTTGCTAACATAGTGTCTGTTAAGCTGACAGAGGGACGTGTCGAGCAGTGGTGAGACGTACCTCTTCTGGATATCCACTGGTTGATGAGGAGGAAGATGAAGATGATCACCATAGTCAATAAAAACACCCCACAGATCACCCACAGCCACAAGTATTCACGCAAAACATCCATGGACGCTCTTCAATGCAGCTGAAGATTAACGAGAAAATTCCACATTAAAGCTGAAACACACTCACTTCACGCTTCAAGACAAGAAAACATCTGTGCTGCAGTTTTTCAGCGCTGTGCATCGGAAAGAGGACGATTCACCACTTCCCTCTTTTCTGTGTTGACTAAGTCCTCGGGGTTATTTTGGTATTTTCTACATAGCATTCTTAGAATCAAACCAGGTTACCGAGAAGCTCTGGGGTCATTTGTGATGCTGACAGAAGACGGCACATTGCAAATGAATTGTTGGTGTTGATCTCCTTATCTCAGTGAACAGAACGGGTTGATAATATTGTCCACTGTTTATCTGTACAAAACACAACCTCTCTGGGCAACAGCTTCCTGCCAAGAGTCCCAAATTCTCCTGATGCAGAATCAAGTCTGACAGATATGTAGTGTTATTTTCCCACGATGCACAGAGAAGTGTAAACATATTCAAACCTTCGTTACCATTTATACTGATTTCTGTGTCTTGAATAAAACATCCCACTGAATAAATATTTGTCTGTATCTTACCTTTTTCTGAAGGCTGATGAGAGGTGATGGTGTCAGTGAGTGGAAGGTAATACTGGATGTGAGATGAGAGGAGGCATCCTGTACTGTATTTGTAATTTGCATGACAGTTTCTACTGTTTTTAGATTAACAACGAAACTGGAGGGCTGAGAATGTACTGTCCCCACCCTCTGCTATCCTCTAGTGACTACATCATGCCTGTGAACGTGTGTGTGGGTGAGTGTCATCATATTTCTGTCCGTGTTATGTGATGTTATCCTCAACTGTCTGTTTGTCCAAAGAAATCTGATATTTCAAAGTGGAACATCTCAATATCAAATTCTACTTCTCAAAGGAATTTATATAGATTGCTTTTATTTTGAAAGGAGCTCACAGGAATCATCAACCTGCTATATTTAGAAAGCACTGTACAGGAAACAGGTGGATTAGCTTCATAAAAAAAACAAAAAAAAAAACTTCAATATGGGTATATTAAGTTACAATTGACATTTAAAATGTATTTTAGGGTTTTATTTGTTTATCATAGTACAACCATAGATGATTATAATACAGCGGGACCACACATGAGACATCCTGCGCCTCTTTTTTTCTCATTCAGTCTCTTTGTAATAACTATGACATTGATTTTTATCATTATAGCACATTTCCAAAACAGCCATAAAAATAAACGATGATAAATCAAGAAAACATAATAACAACACATGGAAGGCCACAAGCAAGAATAATGATCTAAAATCAAATCGAGGACAACCACTGAAGAACAGTATCATTTAAAATGAATGGCAAAGGAAACCGATAAAATATACAAACACAGTAAAAGCTAAAAGTCAAACATGTAAAAGTACATTCTGAGGGATTTTCTAAAAACAGACGGTGAAGTCACAAGTCCAACGTTGGAGGTGATTCATTTGAATACTCAGGGCTCGAGCACCGACAGTGCGAAGGCCCGAGTACTCCGATTAGATTATTTGTGTGTATTTGTACTCAGAGTGGTTTGATTGACTTTTAAAGAACAAATACTAACAGAGAGGGTCTGGGATCAGATCGGTCTCTGAACACTTCCGTCACCCACGTGTAACGTTGTGGATTTTATTTTTGAAACCCCCACCGGAAGCAGCCGAGCTCTGCGCTAGCTTGCCGCAGCAGTTGTGATGTTAGCCTGTTTACCTGGACGCTCCGAGCTTGTTGCCCCTCTGCCCCGGTAATAGCCTCCTGCCCCCCCCCCCTCAGGGAACCATGGCCGAGCCGGCCTCGGGATCCGCTCCGTCGCCGCAACATGACGGTAAATGTCTCGTGTGTGTGTGTGTGCGCGGGGTTTGTGGAGGAGGTGTCCGGGGCCGTCAGCACCGGAGCTAGCGGCCTCTGCATCCCCATTAGCTCGTTAGCATCATCCGGGCGACGTGTCACCGGCTGTCACCGCCTCGGGTTCGACCTTTAACTCCACGTGTGTTTGTTGTTAAACTGTTTTTTAAACCGACCCGTGCCGTGCTAACCGTCACCGGGCTAACCGTCACCGGGCTAACTGTCACCGGGCTAACTGTCACCGGGCTAACGCTGCTGTGTGTCTACCAGCAGGGCTACGTTAGCACGTTAGCTCGTAGCTGAGGCTAGTCCCGGTTAATTTGATGACAGCCTCTGGCCCAGCCCGGTCCGCGGTTAACTCGGGTCATGTGGGGGTTGTTAAGCCCGGTGCTCTGAGCTGCGTGTGGCCGGCACACACTCACTCACCCAGGGGGCTGCAGCACCAACACAGGAGGCTGCAGCAGGTTGACCCCCCCCCCCCTCTGCTGCTCAACCAGCGGTCCGGGGACCGTGGAGGGGTCCTGCAGGGAACACATTTAATAACATGATGAAAACGGGAAATTCTGGTGCCAGCTTGTTCCAAGATTACAGAAAATAACAGTGGAAAGTAGAATAAAATAAGGATTAAGTCTTATTAATTATAAGGATTGAGTCTAAAATACAAGTCGAGATTAAAATAGAGCAAAACTTTAAGTGTATTAAAACTAAATCAAGTTTATTGTAGAGAGAAACTAATACTCAGTTAGTAGTTAGTAATGTAGGATACTGCAGATTATATTGAAATATATTGATGTGAAATATTGCACATGCTAATAAATTAATATGATGATGATGACCTGAAGCAGCAATATTACACAGATTGCATGTGAATGTTGTAATTGCACAAAAGTTGTAATATTGCACATTAAATAGAAACAGCTCAATATTGAGTGAGTGAGGAGTTGTGTTGTTTGTGTACTCGTTGTAATGATGTGGCTGGTTTGCGTTGATGACCTGCTCAGCCTGTCAGTCTTTATTTCTTAGTGTCAGTGTTTTAACGAGGCCTGTTCTGTCCTTTTAATGAATGACGGAGTTTTATCATCACTTGACAAACCTCAGCGTCTGACCTTTGACTTGTTATCTCTCAAACAAAGAGATAGAAACACAAAGTCGGTGAGGAATTTAAAGATCCATTTCAGATCAATACTGTAGCTTGTTGGAATATTTGTAATATCAGTGTCAACATCTATATTCACCAGCGTTTGTCTGTTAGTTCATTCATTTCTCAGAATAATTCCTGGATTGTCCTGAAAACAATCAGACATGTTTAGTGAATGTAAATGTGGTTCCAGAAGGAGGCCGATGCTCCTTGGTGGAGGTGTCTGCTCTGGCTGCACATAATTTGAATTTTTTAGATTTGAAATCAAATCTTGATTATCTCAATCAGAAGAGGAAACAGTTCACGTCTCCTACCGACATGTAGGTATGTGTTCATCTGTAATTATCTTACCTCAGCTACTCTCATGTGGTGTCCGTATCAGTGAGCATCACTGACGCAAGACGCACCACATTTTTGTAAACTGCTGGAGAGAAGCTTGAGATTTGGCTCCATCCATTTTTGCGTCGCAGGTGATTTAATGTTGACGCTCCTCTGGCTCATTGTATTTACATAGTGAATCATGTGATTTATTCAATCTTAAATCACAAATCTGACCAAGGAGGTCGACACTGTGACAAATCTTTTGGAGTAAAAGCATTTCCTTTGTTTTTTAGTTGATGGCTACAGCCAGTCTGCTGACATTCACTCGGAACACATGAGATCAAGTGTTGAGTTTTGATGTTGTGATGATGGAAGAGTCTGTTCAGCCGTCACATGGCGGCGGCTGCTGCGTGTGCTTGTAAACGTTTCCATGCCTCTGTCTTAAGTTTGAGAATACGTCATCCCACGTCCTGACCGGCTGCGTTTAAATAACAAAGGAAAAAAAGCAGGAAGTTAGATGCATGAGAATGTTGGAAAAACCTATGACCTGGAAAAATGTAGTGCATTAGTTTGAGATTTGTATTAATCAGAAAAAATAAAAATACTGTTTAGAAATCACCCTTAGGAAGATTATTCCTTCGTTGTGATGTATTATTTTCTTCTGGGCAACATGTGCTACTCACAATTACTCGACAAAGTCTAAAACAGCGCTTTCCAACCTGAGGAACTACATTATATGTAACTACCGGTTGATTAATTACTGTCCTATGTTCTCTCCATCTTCAAGAAGTGCTGCAGCAGCGAGTTGCAGCTCTGGAGCAGGAGAGGGCCGAGTTCATCAAACTCAAACAGCAGCTGGAGGCCGAGTTCAACCAGAAACGAGCCAAGTTTAAAGAACTCTACCTGACGAAGGAAGGTGAGGACCCATTATCACACAAGCTTGCTGGATTCTGCATATTGTAGCCTCCTAAGTTGGATGAATCATTGATCAAAGAGCATTTCTCTCTACTCTTGTATATTTCCCTCTCCTCCATCATTCATGTCATCCTTCATTTGTCTCCAGAGGAGATGAAGAGGCAGACTGCGGCGCTGGAGGGGTCCCAGGCTGAGCTGAGCTCCGTCCAGATCCAGCTGACACAGGCCCAGGCTGAGATCGAGACCATCAAAGCTGTGGCCACGGTGTCGGAAAACACCAAGCAGGAAGCCATCGACCAGGTCCGCAGCCAGTGGCAGGAGGAGGTGGCCTCGCTGCAGGCCATCATGAAAGGTAATATCAAAAGTTAGAACTTCTTTAATTAACACATATAATCAGCTTGTTGTCATCAGTATGGTTTAGGGTGTAAAACCAGCCTGACAGATTTGTGCTTATGTGCTTCATCTCTGTGTAACTCAAAGAAACCGTGTGTGAATACGAGGTCCAGTTCCACCAGCGCTTGGATCAGGAGCGAGCCCAGTGGAACCAGTACCGCGACGCCATGGAGCGGGAATTGGGAGACCTGAGACGCCGCCTCACCGAGGGCCAGGAGGAGGAAAACCTGGAGGACGAAATGAAAAAAGTGGGCTTCTTCATTCAATTTGTTCTTCTACGGTTTGATGGATAGTTTTTGTTGTGTGAAGCGTAGGAGTTTGTGTTGATATGGGAACTTAAGTTTCTAGTTTTTGGAAGCAAATCTTCTTTAAAAAAAAAAAAAGAGCAACATAAATCATGGAGATGAGCCAGAGAGCAGCTCACACTGAGCCAGACCCCGGAGCCAGCTGGACTGCTCACGAGGTGTTGACCAATGTTGGATTTTGCAGGTCGAGATTTAAGCAGCCGATAGCTCTTACTCATGTTACACTTATTTTCTATAAGTATCCTTTAAATTGGATTTAGATTTTCCACAGCAGCCAAACTGTAGCTGACCTGGTGACGTACAGACTCCAGACGGAGGCAGAGGAGTCCGTACGTCACCAGGTCAGCTACAGTTTTTACTGCGAGTAGCAGAGTGTGTGAGATGTCACAAAGTTTAGATTAAAAATAGATAATGTGCCTCTGGTATGATTATGAAAACAAGACTGATCCGATCCGTCACCTTTGGTTGGCTAGCTTGACGTAGCTGAGCGTGGAAAGCTGCTTTTATGTGATGAACGAGGTAACTAGTCACCCACTTTACCTGATAAGCAACTAAACTAATTGGCCATTTGACAGATAATAAATCAGCAAGTACCTAAATGATAATTTATTTATATAAACTCGAACGTTTCAGCTTCTCAAATGTAATAATGTGCATTTTTTTTGTATTTAACAGTAAACTGAAAATCTTTGGATTTGATTAATCGAAGAAAACAATATGAATAATATCATAATTATAGACTAAACAATTAACAGATTAAATAATAATAATTCAAGATTCAGGATTCAATATATTATTGCTATAATGTTTTACTGGAAGAAAAAATAGATACTGAACATTATTTTGACAGGAAACAAAAGATACGTTAAGGTACGTTATCAGAATAAAATGCGTCTCAGTGTCTGTGATAATGTTATGTGGTGTTTTTGCTGCGGTAAGAGGAAGTGAAGCACATAAAAGAAGTGTAAGCTGTGCAGTTATCCACATGTATACATTTTTAATGGTCAAAACCCTTTAAGGCCCAGGAGGATGCAGAGAAGCTGCGCTCGGTGGTGATGCCCATGGAGCAGGAGATCGGAGCCCTGAAAGCCCGACTGACGACAGCCGAGGAGCGGGTGAAAGAACTGGAGGCCTCGAAGGTCAGTCAGCAACAAATCAATGATTCATTGTGGAAAATTACTGCACAATAAGAAGTTAACTGGGCATGATGTTAAAAAATCCCTCGGTCGCACCGAAAAAACCTGGCGTAGAAAATGTTTTACTGCTGTCATGATTATGAACGACATTTAGAAAATACCTGCCGACCAAGGAAACCCAATCATATGTAAAATCAAGAGGCACCGCTTTAAATTACTTCTTTTTTCTGCTTCTTTTTCATGTTTCATGCCGTTTAGAATCTAGAGTCTGAGAAAATCTTTAAAAGAGTTGAATTCAAGCTTTAAATTTAGTTTACATAGGTTATAAATACTCTTGCCTGCCTGTTACAGGTGATGTTGTATTGGGATATACGTGTATTTTTAGAGATTGCTAAGTATATTCACTTTTACTTGAGCATTGCTGAGGCAACAAATGTAAAGTAAGTAATAATTTTAAATAAAAATAAGTGACAGGCTTTTTAAATATTATATTTTTGAAATAACATAGAGCTCATTGACTTAAATTAAGGTTTTCCTTCATAGCTTGTCTGTAAATTTCATAAATTAACCTTTTTCATTGGATGATTTATTGACTTGTATCATTAGAAACTGTTCTATTCATGTTTGTGAGGCACTGACAGCATCGACGCAGTAGTATTAAGTTATATTTCTGTGGTTCCAGTGCAAACAAGAAGTTATACTGCAGCTACGATGTGTTTTAGTGTCAGTAGTTCTCGCTACAGTTGTAGGCATGAAAAATGACCATTCAACGTTGGCGGTTGCGTTTCTTCACAGAGAGTCGCAGATTTGGTTTCAGTTTGACTTGTTGATTGTTGTGTGGGACAGTGTTACAGCTGTACTCTGTTGAATGAGTGTACTGTGATGATACAGATGGACCGAGGCGACGTCTCAGAAGTTTTAATGGATGTTTTGATATTTTATTGCCACTTCTTGAAGCTTGTCACCATTGGAATCTACTGTAACTGAGCGGAATCGAAGGCGACCGCAGCCTTCCACAAATTTTCCCATCAAGCGTGTTTCCTGCCACAGCAGATGGCTGTTTTCAGCAAAAACAAAAAACCTCTCTGTGCTACTCAACCACAGACTGACAGAGTTAGCGACTAGCTTGTAAACAGAGTCAGGGGAGGCAGCAGCTGAGGAGTCAGATATTTCTCTCTACGTCCTCGCGACTACGTTTTAGTTTCAAAATGCTGCTACGTTTACTTTCTCCGCCTGGTTGTAATTTACTGCGATATCACTTATTTGTGCCTACTTAGCTTATTACCTCAGTCAATTTTAATTATAAATCTATACTAATTAAAGAAGAGGAGGGATAGAGTCATCAGCGCAAATTATCAGAAGCTACATCCAGTCAAATGAATAGTGGGCAGAAAAGACGTGGCAATGAGGAGACTCTAAATAAATAAATAATCAGCAACTTCTGCGTCTGTTCACCACAGAGGAGCAACCTCTAATTAATAAACTGTTCACTTTACAAATTGAAACGATGAAGAGAAGATGAACCAGATTTTCATGTTTCTGATTTTCTTTTTTTTTTACAGGTCAAAGAGCTCAATCATGTTCTCGAGGCTGAGAAGTCGTGTCGCACAGACCTGGAGATGTATGTGGCCGTTTTGAACACGCAGAAATCTGTCCTGCAGGAAGACGCTGAGAAACTACGCAAAGAGCTGCATGATGGTACTTTGTGATATTTCTTTTTATAAGAATCTTGACGGCAGGTTGGTTTATATTTGTTGGTCTTAAGTCTCTTGAAATGAGAGAGTTTAATATTAAATAATGTGTTTTTTGTTTAGTTTAACTGCAACTTCCCAGAGTTATTCACATACTTACCAAAGAAACACAATAAATCACAATAAAAGTCACATTGGATCAGGACTTCCTTCATGTGAGTTTGTGAAAGGTGGATGTTATTGTTTCTGTTACATCATCTCACTGCATCATACCACTGCCCCAACCTCTGCCCTCGCTCTGTTTGGCGCCTCAGTCTGTCACAAGCTGGAGTTGGAGCGGCAGCAGCACAATCAGCTGAAACACACGTGGCAGAGAGCCAACGACCAGTTCCTGGAGTCCCAGCGCCTCCTCATGAGGGACATGCAGAGGATAGAGAGCGTGCTGTCATCTGAACAACTCCGCCAGGTGGAGGAGATGAAGAAGAAGGACCAGGTACGTGCAGCGGTTTGTTGTCGTGTTTGATTAAATTAAAGTATCTTCTATTTGTAACCCTCCATAATACTGTGATTGTAGTGATAAGAGAGTGACCAGGAGAAACTATGAGGAGAGTTTTAGATAATATGCTGCCGTTTAAATTGCTGTAAATTCCCTGATTGTAAGAACTCCTCAGGATATTGTAGTCCAGTTCAACACCCCCGCAAACCACAACATAAAAACAAAACTCTTATGATTTTAAACCTTTTATCTCCGTCCAAGGAGGAGGATGAAAAGGAGAGGCTGAGCCAAGTGAACGAGCTGCATGAGGAGGACGGGGGAGACAACACCGAGCCTCTGGAGGACTCATTCCTCGGGCTGAGCGTCGAGGAGGTTTGAGCATTACGTAACTCGATATGTCCCTTAGCGAGAACAGAGGGGGGCCATTATGGTCATGTTATATTCCCTTTGTGTAAACTGATCCTCAAACACACAACATGGCAACTTCTCTTCTGTCCTTGTGTTTTTAACTCGGGACTTGAAAAATGTTTTTCTTCCTTCCTTCACATGATCTGATGGAAATTGGAGGTCAAGGTCACTCTTACCTCACAAATCCTCGAGATAGTCCTTTCAAATCTGGCACAAATGTTCCCTTACACTCACGGATTAACTGATTAGATTTGAGTGGTCAAAAGTCAAACACCAAGGTCACGGTTGCCTCACAAACCAAGTTGTTGGCCTCTTTAAAGAGAAGTCTCAAGTCTGCCTTTAGGAAATGTCTTCACATTTTCACCGGTTTCACTTGGACCCAAAGATGAATAGATTGGATTTCAGTGGTTAAAGGTCAAAGGTGACCGTGACCTCATATAGTAGTGAATGCAGTATGTCAGGAAAACTGGGAGGGACTGAAGCTGCACTGGTTTACGGAGGCATACAACCGCAGAGCAGTGATTCTAGTACGTTCTTACATTTTACGTTTCACATAAATAGTTTTCAGTATCAATGTAAGTTACAAGTTGTCGTGAAAGCCAAATGTCAAAATGTTCAGTCTTGAGTGAGGCAAATATTTGTTCTTATATGCAAACATTATCAAGGACGTTGCTTCTATCCTGTTACTCGTTGAGTGTTTACCGAGACTGAAGGATGTCGTTAGTTCACACCGTACAGTCCCACAGCTTTAGCCAGGTCATGACGCCTGGATGATCAACAACAAAATCTGAATCAGTGGGATTTCTGGCATTTCAGAACTTTTACCCAGCTGTCTTCACTTTGAGCAGTTCCATGATTCAGTTTCCCAAATGGCCACTGTCTGCAGAGCGGTTCTAAACTGCACTGGGCTGGTTTTAATATCAGAGGAGTATTTTACATGTTGTGTCCTGCTGCAGTCTTGACTCCGACTGTGCTGCAGGAGGAAGAAGTCAGCGTGTTCTGTCTTATTTCCACCGGTATCAGAATCACACAAAGGTTTGAAAACTCCACAGGTTACCTCTAAAACACTTGGTGTTAGTTATTGAATTTTTAAAAGTCCCTTTTGCTTTTTATTCATCTCATCTGCAGCATGAATGGAATTTGAATCACAAAATTAATTCCTTGTGAACATCTGATATTTAAAATTTCCTCTGCTCCTTCTCTTTTAGCCCCACGGCAACCACAGCGCTCACGGCTCGATGCACTCTTTAGATACTGACGTGGTGTTGGGGGGCCCCATGGACCCCTACAAGGAAAACCTGCGGAGAGTTCAGTCGACGGACAGCCTCGGCTCCTCGCTGTCTGCCCAGCAGGGCCTCGGAGGCCAGAACCACAAGGCCAAGTCGGCCAGCCACTTGGAAGAATCGGACTTTGGGCCCCTGGTGGGGGCCGACTGTGGCGTGACAGACAGTAGTTTTGGGGAAACTTCGTCCATCAGCTCGATCAAGCTGACGGCGAGCCACTTCTTGCTGACGAAAGACCAGGAGAAGGCCATCAAAGCCATGACGCCTGAGCAGGAGGAGACGGCATCGCTGCTGTCGAGCATCTCCCACACGGCCAACACCGCCTACTTACCGCCCGCAGGCTACCGACTGGTCAGCGACAGCGAGTGGAATCTGCTGCAGCAAGAGGTGCGTCCTCCGCCAGAGGCTTTTTCAGAGAAGTCTTCTCCGTTTAAGCAACTGTTGAAATGTGGTTCAAACAGTTTAGTGGCTGCATAGTGGTTATGGCAGGACGTTACATTTATACACTTGGGTTTATGTGTGTTCTGTCAAATTTGTTAGATTATTGTAATATTATTCACTAGAGCAACAAACTTTGAGGTGGCACTTTGATGAATTTCCTGTTCCAGAACTGAATTGATCTATGACTTTTTGAACCTGCCAGTTTTAAAAATGTCTTTCTCTGTGTTCAAGTTTATTTTAACTCTCAAGACAGAAAAACTAAAAGATAACAATCTTTTTGGGTGTCAGACATGATGTCATCAAACCGTTATCGTGAAGTGTGGTTTTGTGGTTTGTCGGTCGGCAGGTGAAAAACGCTGGCAGGAAGCTCGGCCGACGTTGTGACATGTGCTCGAACTACGAGAAGCAGCTACAGGCCATCCAGGGACAAGAGGCCGAGACACGAGATCAGGTTTGTGTTTTCTGTCCATTTAATGTCCACTCGTCTGTAGTAATTATGTTTGCGGAGCAGAATTCAGGAACCACTTGATGAAATAAATATGTTAATCAGGTAGCAAAGTGGTGCCTTTTGAAATTCTGGGTTTCATGAGAGGAAATATTAAACTGCAGCACCGAATCATCTGCTTTTCAAGTTTTGTCGAGCCCGGAGGAATATGTCATCGCCCGATGAGCTACGCTGTGTTTGAAGTGATGAGCAGTTTGACAAAAGAAAGGATTCTGCCTTTCTCTCTCTTCCAGGTGAAGAAACTGCAGGTGATGCTGCGTCAGGCCAACGATCAGCTGGAGAGGACGATGACGGAGAAACAGACTTTGGAGGATTCAGTCAAATCAGGCAATGAGGAAACAGCTACCAAGGTTTGGACACAGGGAATTTATTAACAATGAAAAGTAAATGATTCGTTTCTATGCTGGTATCTGATTCAGTGCAGCTGATGGTGTTTAGTTATTTAATACAAATTAATCCTTTCGTTAAATTCCCCATGAATTGTGCACAAAACAACGTACACAGCATTGTGGGCTGTGTCATCCTTTCACATAATAGATGTGACCGCCCCACCCCCACCCCCACCAAGTTGTGAATCTGCAGGAGCTCAGATTGCATCGCTTTGGGGGATACACACAGGAAGTACATCTTAGTACATTCATGGATTCAGATGTCACTCACAGCCGTGGCTCTGTTCATATCTGAAACCAGAACAATCTCATGTCCTGGTAAAAAACTCAGAAGTCCAGAATTTTCACCAACATTCTCCTCCACTGGATGTTCCTACTCATCATACTCTAACGTTGTTGGACTAAGATTACCACCGTGTGTGCACAAACATATGTTCCTGTCTTGTAAATATCTCTGGAAATGTCTGAAAGGCCCTGAAGGCGTTTGCTCTTGTCTCAGTGATGTGTTTTGTTTTGCAGGTTTCCGCCCTAATGCAAAGAGTCCAGGAGTCAGAGGCGCTGCTCGGCACACTACAACAAGCCTTCAGTGACGCTAAGAGGAACACACAGGAACAGATGGTGAGCAGCACACTCCTCCGTTAGCCTCGGCGTTGCCTGCTCTTGACAGCTGTGTTTGGATCCCTCGTTCCGTCTAAGGTCGCAGAGTTTAATATTGGACAGGATTGAGGTAGCGCTGGCAAGAAACAAGTCCTTCAAATGAGCATATCATTGTTTTTGTTTTGACAACAAGCACCATTTCTGTTATTTGACCTGCAGCCACAGTGAACTGCAGCTCATGGATGCTGGATTTCCCTGTTTTGGATTTACTTCTCTGTTCCTTCTTACCGCGAGTATTTGTTGATACGAAGGAGCTCTTGGCTGCAGGAGTTGTTGTCACTCAAAAAATATTAAGTTATGTCCAAAGGTTGATCTTCCACCACAAGAGAAATTCACAGATGTGTTCTTTACTGCAGCCGTTGCCATGTGCACTAAGAGAAGTAAGTGTAAAAACTGAGCTCCTCTCTGTAAAATAAAATACAGTCGAACAGCACCACAGATAATTAGCCTGTTAGAAATCCAGCCAGAGGAGGAGACGGGTCGGAGAGTCCACTGAATCATGTCGAATGCAGCTTCGGCTCTGATGTGGGACTTTTGTTGTGTTGTTTGGCTTTCTGATATTTGTTGGCCTGTGAAAAATCAGGGCTAATCATGTAGTTTGATCAAGGTATTAGACGACATCAGTAAAAAATAATAAACTGAGGACTGAGGGTGCAGATCGACTATAAACTTTTTTTATTACTAATTGACCTAATTATTTCACATCTGGTTTAAACCTAAAAAATAAACTATTTGGTAAATTTTTGGAGTTAAAGAGGAGCTGTCACATAACATCACTGTTCCACATGACCACAAACATTTCCTGACACGATGAAGCTCTTGGTTTCAGTTAATATGTACAAAAAACTTCCACCACAACAGACAAAAAACAAATACACGGACGTGACATCACGTGTATTTCTGAGTTAAGTTGAAAGATGACAAGTGGGACAAACATTCTCGGTAGTGAATGTGCAGCTTGAAGCTGTGACAGCACATGCACCGATGTGACCGAAGGTCTTTCAGACAAACGTCTGCGAGAGCAATGAGACTCCATTTGCTTCATGTGCTCTGAAGCAGCATGAGTCTTCATACTGTCATGAAGTGAGTCATAGCACTCCTCTTGGGAAAATATAAGTTGTGCAGGGACAATGGGATGAATCGTGGCCCCAGAAGGAATCACTCTGTGTTTTGAAGTGGAGCTGGTTACTTGTGACAGGAAGTAAAAAAGGGAAACAACCTGGCACACGATGAGATAGTTTGATTTGTTTGGTTTGTTTTCTTCCAGGCGGTGCTGGTGAAGTCGAGGGAGCAGGTGGCAGACGAACTAAGTCGACTACAGAGAGACAACGAGAGTCTGCAGGGAAAACACAGGCTGCACATAGAGCTACAGCTACAGGAGGACTTCCAGATGCCCAATACTGTGCACGTATGTGAAACCAAGGATCACATGTTTTAATCTCAGCACTCGCATCAAGAGGTGCTGTGTATTCAGCCTCGAAGCTTAATACCTTTAATATATGAGTTAATGATAGTGCCCGGCCTTTACACTTCATTCATTGGAGTGAATGATTAGTTAAGATTTAGTTGGTAAGTGATATGAAGCAGTAATGATGCAATAAAACAAGTAATGAAAGTTTAAGATAAGATAAAAGTGTGATAAGAGCTTTAAAATCCGGATTTACTGTCAAGGTGATTTCCTTTCCAAATGTGAATCTGAGCGTGTGCAGTGCATTCACCTCTCGTACAAATTAACTGTGGAAATTCACATATGACACCTTCGAAATATCGTCACAACCATTTTAAAATTCTCTCCTCTCCGACTTCTATGATCTTTAAATGCACAGAAAATTAAGCTGATTGGTCATATTTACAGAAACATTGTGATGGGGGGACAAAGATTTGAAGGCAGTGCATGGATTTGATTATTTTGGATTTGTACTACTGGTACTCCCTGAATGTACTGACCATGAATAAATGTATTTTTACTGACATTCTACAGCAGCTCAGAAAACACAGATGATACCTCAATGATGGATTTGATTCTGAACATCCTGCTGTGGACACTCAGATCCAGCTCTCCATTATACATTAGATTATCCTTTTATAAACCCTCTATAAACCATTCAGGCCACAGAGAGAGAGAGAGGGAGAGTGGGAGGGAGAGTGGGAGAGAGAGAGAGGGAGAGAGTGGGGAAACTGACAACAATTGACAGAGAAAATAATCCCTGCAGAGAAGCAGTCAGGAGCTAATTGCCTGCGGTAATTCCTTTTTGAGTCCACCGATCAATGGCACCAGTGCTCATTCAACTTACAACCCTCCTCTCTGCTCACGAGGTTCCACACACACTTCAATTCAGTTTTATTTGTATAGAGCCAAATCATAATATACATTATCTCAAGGCTCTTTGCAGAGAAGGTCAAGACCTTAAGATCTTATTTAATACAGAGAAACCAACGGTTCAACAATGAGCAGCACTTTGACGACTGTGGAGATAAAAAACTCCCTCGTTAACAGAGAGAAACCTCCAGAACCAGACTCAGTGTGGAGACATCTGCCTCGACCGAGAGAAGAGAGAAGGGGAGAAGTGCTCAGTGCATGATGGGAGTTCCCCCAGCGGTCTAGACCTATAGCAGCATAACTAAGGGATGGTTCAGGACCCGCATGATCCAGAACTAGAGGCTTTATTAAAAAAGGAACATTTGAAGTTTAAAATGCAGAGATGGTGTCTGTCTCCCGAACCCAGCGTGGGAGCTGGTTCCACGGGAGAGGAGCCTGGTAGACGAATGTGATTGTTTCCCTGGTGGTTATAATTTGATTTGTGAAGAAGTTCCTGAATTCATTGCTTCTCAGAGTTAGAGGGATAGATGGGTCAGTAGAGGTGAGACTTATTTTCTTCTATGAATAATGAATAGTAAGAGGTTCTAGCATTTCTAAGTGCTTTCTTGTGATTCATCAGGATATCCTTCCAGGCTAGGTGAAAGTCATATTGATTGGCGGAACGCCACTTCCTCTCTAGTTTCCGTGATGTTTTAAAACAGGTGTTTATACCATGAAGCGAATCTCCTCTGATTTACCTACTTCTTTTTTAGCAGGCGACAGCGTCAAGGGTTGTTTTTAATGAGGCTGCTGTTCGATTAATAAAGTTATCAACCAGTGTGGGAGTAGAGTTTCTTGTAACTTTCCAGTGTTGTACCGACACGTGGCTGTGAGGGAAGTGTAGAAGGAAGCAGTTCTTTAAGTTTTTTCACAGTTTTATCAGATAAACACCGACTGTAATAGAAGTTCTGTCCAGAATCAGTGTAGTTAATTTTAGCATCGATCCCCTGTAATGTAGTTTGATTCTTCTCCAGGAGCTGCAAGGGCTGGTGCTGCGGTTGCGTGAGGACATGGTGGCGTTGCGGACGTCGGCCGATCACATGGAGGAGAAGCTGAAAGCTGAGATTCTGTTTCTGAAGGAGCAGATCCAGGCAGAGCAGTGTCTGAAGGAGAACCTGGAGGACACGCTGCAGCTGGAGATCGAGGGCTGTAAGGAGGAGATAGGTGAGACTCAGGTGGTCAGTTTAAATATCCAACCGTACAACTATCAACTCATCATTTGTTTATCTTCAGGGATGCATCCAACATACATCCTTTTTATTTTATGGACATTTCTTACATTTTCTTCTGTTTCTGCTTCCTCTCCACTGATCACTTTCACTCAGACATCTTGGAAGGTATGAAAAACAAGTTTCACTGCAGCTGCATCATCTGTGTGTTAATGGCAGAGCTGCGGGACTAATTACAGTAGTGAGACCTCAGTGTAGTGCTTTCCCTCACGTGTGTTTGAACTGGCTATAATGTGCATTAATATATAATTTGCATTACTGTATGCTGTCCCATGCCATACATTAATCATTACATGTTTCACTGTCAATGTAGATGTTTATATCGAGCATGCAACACTGATGCTGCAGCCTGGGATGAGGCTCGGGAGAATTTAATTGGATCTAATTCTGCTTATTAAGTTTTAATCCTTTCAAATCCCTTGTGTTTATCTTTGGCTGGTTTAGAGAATCGTAGTTAAAAAAATATATTCAATCAGTGCAGTGATTTCCCACAGATACCTGAACCAGTCTTTTCAAGTTATTTGTTAATTCATGTGCGTTAGCCCTCGGATATAGTATTAATTGCACTTTGTCTGTCAGTAAATATTGACTCGATATATGTTAGTGGTTATTTATAGGTGAAATCGTTGTTGCACTGCTGCAGATCATAATCTGTGTTGTATGAGAAGAGACTGAGGTCGAGCACTCGTCTGTGTCAAGTCTAAAAAAAAAAAAAAAAAGCACAGAAGTTCCTTTTTTAACAATGATGAGGAAATAAAAAGTTCCCCTATTATAGCGTGAGCACCCGTCCACAAAGCTCGTCCTTTGTTAGCAGTTTTTTAAAATTACTTCATTACAAGTTTTTATTTTAAGTCGTTGTGCCTCAATCAGTCGGTCTTCATGTCAACTTTGTCGCTGACGGAGCACACGGTGTCCAGATGGACGACTTTGTTAAAATGGTTTGTTCCAGTTAGGGTTCGAGAAAGTCCCCAAAAAACAGGAGGTCTCTACGCCCCAAGGTGTAATGTAAAAATAAAATCAAAACAAATTTTAAATACAAAAAAAAAATCAGAAAACACAAGTTGGGAAGTTTTAAAAATAGTTTCTTGAATTAGTAATTTTAACATCAACTAATCAATTAATCAACTTTTACACACTGTTTTGAATTGCTTGGATTAATCTGATGGACAAACATGTTCATGTTTGAGTGTTTGGTGGTCGTCAGTCAAAGCTGCCAGTCTTTAGTGTTTTTCATGTAAACCACTTCTCACTGTCTGTCTCACACACACACACACACACACACACACACACACACACACCATCACTCAGCAGCTTTGTTCCATAACTCATAAATAGCGTAATAATCTTCAAGGCACCAGGTTATTATTCCGGGGGGAATATGTGGGCACCGAGATTCAGATGAGATCTGTGAGATCTAATGACGTCTCCCTCCTGCAGCTTCTTTCTCCAGTTTGAAGACGGAGCTGGAGCGAATCAAAGCTGAGAAGAAACAGGTACTTTCTCTTTGATTTTCACGAAGAATAAAACCTCAGTGAAGAAAAATGATTCACTTCACAGTGGCTTGTTTGAAACTATCACGAGAGTAAACTCTTTAAAGATTTATAAGTCAGAGGTTGTGTTTGTTCTGCTGCCTCCAAATGGCCAGAAAAACTTCTTATTTATTTAGCTTATCAGTTTTGAAAATCTGTCACTGTTGTTTGTTGGCTCCCCTCCAGTTGTAGTCTGTCGGTGGTAGTGATTATTTCTCACTCCTTTTTGTGAACTGTGTCTTTACGTAGTTGGAGAGAAGTCTGGCAGAGAAGACTGAGACACTGGGAAACCTCCAGGCTCTGAGGATCAGTCTGGAGCAGCGGCTTAAAGAGCTGAACACTGCAAAGGTCAGTTTGACACTCATCACTGTGCTGCACCAAACTACCCACAATGCCCTTCTCTTAAACCTGGCCAATCATATCGGAGCATTGCAGACGTCTTTTCCAACCTTTCTTGAAGAGAATTCTTTACTGTTGTGTGTGTTTAATGTTTGTTTCTTCTATGAGAGATCCTGTACGTGTTGTTAATATTTTACATTATGTTATAAAATCCAGAAACAGTTGTAATCTGACACGAGACCAGTCACACAGCCAGCGAGTCACAGACGGCATCATTTTAAATTATTCAGCAAATGTGTTGCAGTTAAATATTTATCACGGTTCTTTTTCCTGCGTTTCACTGGCTCCGTTCAGTTCTAATCTGATTAGTGTGTGTGTCTGTCTGTGTGTGTGTGTGTCTGTGTGTGTGTGTGTGTGTGTGTGTCTGTGTGTGCGTGGTGGTTGCAGAGTGCACTAGAGACTCAGGCCTTCGACGAGAGAGACAAAGCTCAGCGGCTGCAGACGGAGCTGGACGTTAGTGAACAGGTTCAGAAGGACTTTGTCAAACTTTCTCAGACTCTTCAGGTAAGATGGAATTCACCAGGTTAAATAAGTCATCTGCATTTTATCTGTTCAAAGTTCTCACTTTAAACACTTTACAGCACAGGACACATGCACACAGCACTTCTGTGGTCATTTTTTGTTTTTGTCTCTCAACAAGATAACCTGAACGAGTGATTGTTGTTTGTCTGCGTCCTCAGGTACAGTTGGAGCGAATACGACAGGCGGACTCCTTGGATCGAATCAGAGTCATCCTCAACGACACCAACTTGACTGACATCAACCAGCTTCCAGAGACATGATACCACTGAACTGAAAACTGCCCTCGGCTTCATTCCCTCTTTTCTTCATCACTGGCCCGATAACATTATTGATCTGACGCCTCCTTCCTCCCGCCCATAACCCCCGTGGACGAGTTTGGAAGGACGAGGACGGACACGGCGTGAGGAGCTCATGGCCTGTTTATACATTATAAAGTCATGGAACACACCGCGGAGAGAATAATGAAGAAGAACACTACTAAAAAATGTAAATAGCTAAATGTGTGACTGTGGACGGAGGGAGAGGAAGTCCATCTTTCTGTGGGTCTGTCTCGTTTCTACTGTAGATCTGTCTGTATTAGGCTCAACCAAAAAGGTTTATCGTCTTCTAAAGCACTTTTCATCTGCGCCATCTTTTTCCAGGTAAATAGAAAGCAATTGGATGCATAGCTCTTCTCCTCCTGTTCGATAATCGCTTCCTCGTTCCACTCGCTTGTTCTTTCCGACCTTTTTTTTTTTCCTTTTCTGAAGCATTTTCCACCTCGTTCTGGTGAATTCACCCTATCCAAAAAAAATCATGATGAAGGATGGAAAATACTTGCACGTAACTTAAATAGGATAAAAAAAAAAAGGAACATAACGCAAAATGAGCAATACCATGATTTTCTTTCTCATCGTCCACCGTATGTTGTTTTCCTAAAGCTGCTGAAATATACGAAACTATTTAACCCGGCTGGTGAAAAGAAGAAATAAGAAGAATCAGATGTCAACATTCAAATGTAAATGAAAGAAACTGATTTTAATACATCGACTTTACTCCTTTAAATTATTCATAGATTTTGTTTTAAGTTTGGTTTGAGTTTAATCATGAAATTGTAAAGAGTGGGGGCTTTTAAAGTAAAATGGAGGATCACGCTGTAACGACGCTGAGCTGACACAAGGCGTTTCTGTGTCGCTCTGGGACAATTCAGGATGGGGGAGAGTTTCACATGTTCAGTATCTCTATTGATGTTTTCAGACTTTGTCTTTCACATATGAAGAATGCAGCAGGAGAACGTGCGGCTCGGATAACAACAGGAACATTAAGGGGAGGGATGGAGTTTGGGTTGAGCAGCAGGAGGAAGTCGTGTTCTTGTTTACAGCACATCAACGGTGGCTTCGGCCACTTTGAATCTCCTCGTCTTTCCAAATTCACGTCTTCTACGTGTACGGCTCCTCTTTCTTTTTCATCCTGAGATATTTGTATGTTTCTGAACTTGTTCTTTGAAATTGGCAGGAGAACTTTAGCTAAATCGGACTTGGACCCGTCATCAACCTTGTAATCTCAACCTGATGAACTTCACAAGAATAGACGGAAGGTCAAATCTTATCCATTATCTAAACTTTCACTCTCATGGCCAACCGCTGCGTCAAAGCGGTGGCAGTGAGCGACTTGCTGCTTTTGGAAAAGTTACAAACATTCTACTCAACTGACAGATTAACAGGAAGTTTTAAAAATCTGTTTACTGACCAGGACTTTGTTTTAAAAAAAACAAAAAAAAAAAACCTTAACCTGATTTAAAACTGACAACAGTGCAGCTCCTTCTTTAGTAACCCGTGTTAAATTCAAGCAGTTTGATTAATTGTGGGATCTAAACTGCAGCAAGGCAGGAATACACAGGTGGCTTTCATCAAGCAGCTCCACCGGGACCTTTGAGCTGTAAAACAGAGCTGCACATTCCCCGAAAACCTTTTCAAATAGAGCGAATAATTGTTTGAATATTGATGGGAAGTCGTGTGAGTCTGAGGATGTGGCTTCATGTTGAAATGGTTCATTATCAACTGCCACATTTTAGTCTCCAGGCTTTTTGTCAAAATTAGTCTCAGAAAAGCATGTTGAGTTTTAATTGATTGAGAAAATCTGACCACTGAGAGAAAATCACCTCTGGAGCTGTTCCCTCCAACTGTTGTGAAACTCTGTACTTTCCTCGTGTGCAGTTTGAGAACATACATGATTGTTGATAAAAAAAAAAACATTTTTTTCAAACTTTCATGTAAGTGAGCCATTCCCCAGGAGCTGGCAGTCACGGTGTGCTTTGAATAAAGGCGGTGACTCAGTGCCCTGCTCTCGTTCTGACACACAAGACTGCGAAACACGGATTTATGGAAAAAACAATGAGGCTGAATGAATTCTGTAAACAGCTGCGTTGTTTGAATCTAGGACATGTTCTTTGTTTTTCTTTGTTTACTTGCATGTATTACATTTCCTTCTGTTGCATATGTCGATACTGTAGATATCTGGAGTTGATATTTATGATAGATCCATGCAATGTGTTAATGAGACGTGTGGATGTGTGGGCGAGCGAGCCTGACTTGCACTGAGAGAACACTGTATGTTTTCAGCTTGTGTGGTTGTGGGCTGATGGGACGTGTTCAGCCTCGTCATGAAAACCGGTGAACTGAACTTAGAGTATAAATTTTAACAGTGTGAAGTCTGCACATTTATTTTTCTCCGATGGCCTTATTGCGTTGGCTTGGTGTGTTTTAATTTTATTCGTGACATTTATTGTCTTTTAATTTAATCTCGGTGACAGAAAGTCGCCATCACTCGTGGCCCATATGTATTAATATGGCGGTTCCTCTCCGGAGAGTCTTACCAGACGTTTACTAATTCACTGTGGTCACGATTAAACGTTGATTTGTATCGATTCATTTCTGATCTAACATCGCTGGACCTTTGCAGACTGTATCCTCGTTCCCTGAAAAATGATTAGAGATGTGAAAACATTTGTGGTCAGAGACGAACAGTGTGAGGTCTGAAAGCTCACACTGTTCTTGGTTTTTAGCATAAAAACAAATTCAAAACAAATAAAGCACATTTGAAGCCCAAGTTTGTTTGTTTTTGACAAGGACGACGTGGAAAATGTGCTTTTGTTTTGACAGTTTTGTAACTGATGTTAACTGAGAATACAACTGTCTCACTATAGTCTTTATAGTGTCTACACATAAAATTACACAACCTCAGAATATATCTAAAGCTGTAATGAACAGTCTGATCTTGCATCATACCCACTGACAGTAAATGAATTAAAGAAGTCTTGTTTCCAGGAAGTTAAAATGCCAAAAAATTCAGCTGTGACGTCAGGAAATTTTGGAACCCATAAGTTTGTTTTTTAATCTCTGTGTGAATGTTGCCGCTTCAGAACACTCGGATGACACCACAGGAGCAAAACGGAGGCATTTAAGTTTTTTTTTTACGTTTAAAGAATCGATCTGTCAGTTACTTTAATTGATTTGGATTCGGCTGAAACGCTGTTTAACCCTGAAACTACCAAGTGTTGTGTGGACTCAAACCCGTCACCCTCCATCGGCACAGTGAAGGAGATAATGAGTGAATTTCTATTTTTTGGGTGAACCATCCGTTTAACATTCACCATCTTGTCCTATATTGTTAAAATACAATCTGTAGATGGGACATAGCCAAAGTTTACAAAAAGACATTTGTAAACTAGCTTTGTGTTTTAAGTGTGCTGTTCTGTGACGTCGGGGAATAGTCCACAGTTCCCTCGGTGCATTCAATATCTGTAAAGTTCAGAGCAAATCTGACGAAACAAAACGGAAAGAAAACAAACAGGCCAAGGAAATCATGAGGCGACCATTATAAATATATCAGAAATAGCCATTAGAGAGCAATCTTCATTACAATGTTCGTGGGGGATATTCCCCCACAGACTTATTTTATATATATTATATTAGCAGAAAAGTTTTGTGTAACTTCAGCAGAAATAAAGTTTGACTCTCTCTTTATTCTAAAAGGCTGTCGCTGCGCCTGTCAACCTGCAGGGGGCAGCAGCTGCTCTCAGCTGTGACGCCGCCGCCGCAGAAGAAGAAGCAGGAGGACTGGAAGGGAGGAGAAGCAGCGGAGCAGTTTCTCCTGTTGACAACAACACAATGGAGCCAAAATGGACAGATTCCGTCTGCAGGCGTGTTTTACTGACTGGATTCACGCTGTGTGTGGTTCTGGGTGAGTGTCGAAGCCTCCGCCGGGTCCAGACTCGGTTCGGAAGTGTTTCATCTCGAGCTCGTTGTTTTAGGAGGAATCCCAGCTTCGCTAGCTCGCGCTGTTCTGTAGCAGCCGAGGAGACACCTACCAACACCCGGACATCTGTCCCGGACATCTGTCCCTGGATCTGCTCGTCCATCTCCCTTTGTTGGGCCCCTCGGATTAAAACCGCTCACCGTCGCTTTCACCCCCCACGGGAACCTTTGTCTCGCCCGCCTCGGTCACGCTTACACAACACGTTACGGTTAATGTAAGAAGAAGTTGTTAAATTGGCTAAAATCTGAACAGGGTTTGGTGCAGACTGGTGGCTGCCGCCCTTGTTAGCGTCCTTCCCCCGGAGTCCTCGGTGGGACCCTCTGTGTTGAGTAACGGAGCCTGACCAGCTGATTACGGTTCAAATTGAGCTGCAACGCGAATCCCTCGGTGCGTTTGACCGGTGCCGATTCGGAGACGATGTTCCGCTCGTGTCGGAAATGTTTAACAATGTCTGCTGCACCGCAGCTGCTTTCTCCGACGAGCGAGTCCACGTTAAAGTGAACAGTTTTCCAACGAGGGTTTCGCTTGGCGTGAGTCCGGTGACCGACTTAGCGGAGCAGCCTTCCTCCGTTCCTCGGTGACGAGCGGGACAAAGAGTCCTTATCGCTGGAGTTTCATTAACACACAGTGGCTTTAATTAAGACGGTGCCAACGCATCAGCTCCGGAGCTGCAGCCTCCCTCCCCTCTCTCTCTCCCTCCCTCCCCCCTCCCTCGTTAGCTTAGCGTCCACAAACAAACCACAACATCTCACTTCCTCGTTCCTTGACCGAGATTGTGAAGTAACCTTCATGCACACTCGTGCAGGGGACGATAGACCTGCGTGTGGTGACTGTCCCGGTCTGCAGCTACAACAAGCAGAAGCGTGTCCCTGCTGACATCTTGTCTTTTGAAAGGACACGGTCCTGTCTCACCCCTGAGCCACAGTCAGACTTCAGACCGAGGATTCATCTTGTAATTTAACAGACTCACCTTTCCTGCCGAATAATACCACGTTTCTTTTTTCTCCCCCCGTGATTTCGAAATAATGCTGAGTAATATCCTGAAGTTTAGAGAAGTGGTGGTTTTGAATCTCTGGCTCTAGACATCTGACAAGAGGAAGCAGCTGACAGACACTTTCTTCTGTTTTATATTGTGTCATCAATTTCATGGATGACGACTGTCACGTCCCTCTGTGTTAGCTGGAGTCTCAGTCTCAGTGACAGGCCAAGAACATCATGTCGGTTTGCTCACCAGGATTGTGCAGAGCCCATCGTGTGTGATGCTTGTTTTTCAAACACAGACGAGAACAGAACTACATCCTTTACTACAAGTTAACGTTGATATATATATATATATATATATATATATATATATATATATATGTATAAAATATATCCACGTCCAAGTCAAAACGTCGAGATCAATGATTGAAGAGTTGGTCAGTGACAGATTTACTTTATGAGGTTTGAAAGCTCACATATTACTACTGCTTGATTTTTAATATAATTACACACTCATAACAAATGAAGCAGAAGGGAGGCCCAAGTTTGTTTTTCTCTTTTTTTATTTTTGTGAACTACATTAACTTAAAAATGTGCTTTACTTTAGAATAACTAGCGTTATTCTCTAACGCTCTGTTCTGTTCTCTAACAAATAGCTGCTGTCATGTCACTTTCCAGCGTTTTTAAAAAGCGTTAAGAACCAAAGTCACACTTACATTAGTAGTAACCTCTGTTTCATCACAATCTTTCATTTATCATTTATTTAATCCTTCTCCAGATGGTTGCTGTCCATAATCTAAGACCACCTTCCTCCATAGCATTGGATTTTACAAATTGAAACCTGAGTAATTACTTAGAAAGCACGGAGCAGATCACCGTGACCCCCGACTCATTCATGGACGCACTTTTTCTGTCTGGTTTTCATTTGATAAAAAATAAACAGATCAACAGTGTAACGTGACTTTTGAACAATAATCCACTGTCGTTATCCAAACATATGAAACAAGCTGCCCGTCGTACATTTGAAAGAGGCTCTGGTTCGATGCTGGATTGAGTTTGTTTTCACTTTTGTTCAGGTTTGTTTTCAGCTCTATTGCAAACTGTTGTGCAGTGAGTTTGTGCCTGATGAGATTTAAACGTTATCTGTTTCTCAAACTGGATCTACTTTATCGTATTACAGGGTTTAAGAGCATTCTCTTAACAGCACCCCCCCACCAACACAGCTTCCCTTCACATGTATTCTGTATTGCCTTCTGTTATTCTCTGTTTCCCTGGCTGCATTCAACCTTGTTACTTAAACCTTGGAAATTGTTTTTATTCCAGCCACAAAACCTACATCTGCAATCGACATATACGCCGACCCTGAGGTGATGGTGCAGAACGGCACCACAGGGATTCTTCGATGCAGCTTCAAGTCCAGCGAAGTGGTCAGTAGCTCCATCTCGGTGACCTGGAATTTTCAGTCGAGTCAGCCTGATAATAAGTTCTCCAAAGCGCCGTACGTGGTAAGTCCTCGCCGGCCGTATCCTCTCTGCAAAGATTTCCCACAGCTCCGGGATGTTTTCCTGCGATTGTTTCATCTGCACTGACACTCGGAGAAAAGCCTCCTCAGGATTTATTCTCACTTTGGTGACATGTTTGGTTTCTCTTCAGCTTGAGTGTACTCTTTTTGTCTCGTGTGTGTTTATAGTTTTTCTTTCTTATTCTTGTAGCAGACTGAAAACACATCGCTCTGTGTAAACACAGGGTTTCAAGTGGAGAGCTGCGGAGTTTCCACACAATGCTAATGTCCGTGTCGCCCACTCACAGCAGGCAGATTGATTTGTTTCTGGCAAAATGAATTATCAAGCTGGTTCAAACAATTAAGATGCACTGGTGAGTGCCAATTCAAGGGAAATGAACAATAACGCACAGGATTGTGCTTTTATTAGTCTACACTAATGTGAGCTGATTAAGTGCCCGTACGTTTTTATAATATTTACAGCTAGAGGTCCTCAAACATATTTAATTTAACATTTAAATCTCAGAGAAACGAGCGGCTCATTCGCAGCACCTTCTCCTTTTCATTCACAGATCCATCGAGCTGGGCGGAGGCCCGCTTGTCTCTACGATCTGCCAGTATAATGACATAGCCGTAGGGATTTTAATTTGCAGAATAGTCATGTGAGAGCTCACACACACGGAGCACGTCCACAATAAGCCGGTAAAATGTTGTTTCAGTCGTCCATCCAGATTTACACACCCCAAAAAACACCACCAAACTTTTCCATATGGCCTCCACAGTTATCTCAGCAGCTGTCTCACTTCTGTCCAGATGTTGGCTGCGATACTCAATTTTGTCGTTTGCCAGCTGAAGAGCTGACACAGAAGAAGAGCACTAAGTTCTTTAACGCTGCTTATGTGTTTCACTGTGAGAAGTTTATAACCTGGACATCCTTCCAGTGTTGTTGCAAATAATTTTCACACAAAAGAAGCATTTCAAGATCTGCAGCTTCCTGTTTGAGGGTCGGTCACATGGTTCACTGCTGTGGGCAACAACTTTGGTTTTTCAAGACCACTGACACCTTTAGGTCTGACCTCCCTGTCTGTGGTGTCAGTTGTCTTCAGCAAATTGTCCTTTTTAAAAAATGGCGTAATGTGGACCTGGTGTCAGTCAAGCTCAACGAAAGCCGGCAGGAGCTGTAAGTATTGACTGGCGGCGTCTGTGTGAGATCATCGGCACATACATGGCAGAGCTTCGCTCTTGGCAATTTACCTGTGATGTGAAAGTGATTTCAAACGGTCGAGTGACGTGATCTTCAAACGATCACGACAGGAGTCACGTCCTTCACACTTGTGTCTACGCAGCCAACTTTAACCAACCAGGCTTCACGAAATCTCTGGCTTCTGTCTCCGTGTGTTCATACGAACCCGAGGACACTTCAATCGAATGTTTTTATTTTTACCCTCCGTGTCCTCGGCTCGCTCACTCAGCATCAGTAGGTGTTAATGTGTGGAAACGCCGTGAAGAGCGGCACCTTTTTTTAGCAGCCAGAAAAACCGGCTGTGCTCATCAGACTCTTAATCAGGGGCAAGTTAAAATGATACGACACACTTTTCATCTGTCCACCTGAACTTTCTTGACTCCATTTTGAACGTTGATGATGTCGGCGTGTGTGTTTTGAGATTGAGTAGAAACACATGTTAGGAACCAGAAAACCACAATACACAGATGTTCGCCTTGTTCTGATTATTAAGAACCAGTTGGATGATATCAGCGTTACTCACAGAGATCTGTTCACATTCATCTTTGTGTCATGCAGCATATTTTGACATGTCACAGCAGGAAAAGCACAAATTGTAAATAATGAAGTTGTTGATGCTGGAGGATCCGACACAGTCGCTGCTTTACATCCAGGATGCTGGTGTTGTGTATGTCACACTGTCACAGTTCAGAGCCATTGCTAATGTGACTCGAAGTCAGAATGTGTGAAAATGTTAATTACGTCTGCTATGAGATTACTGTTTGTGTGTTTATCAGCAGAATTACACAAATACTACTGAGGGGGTTTCCACAAAACTTGATTGAAGAAGCGTTATGCTTTTCGTTTCCTAGAGATTAGTTATCTTGATGAAGAAAGTCTGAGAATTTGTTTGGCAGAAAAAAAAAACTCTTGATAATGTCTGGAGCAACTGCCACGGACAGTTTGCGTTCTCACACACGCCCCCTCTGGATAATTTCAGGAGAATACCCAGAGTTCAGTTTTTGTCTGAAAGCAACAAAATGTGTGAATCTTGCTTCAGAATCTTCTGCGTGTGTTTCCGGTTGAAGCAGTTTAACCTGAATTTCGCCCTCTTTTGCAGATTTTATACTTTTCACAAGGGACGGCATTCCCGGGATCAAACGAGTTCAAGGACCGAGTGCAGTTTATCGGAGACGTCAACAAAAGGGACGTCTCGATACAGCTGAGTCCGGCTCAGTTCAGTGACAACGGTACCTTCTTCTGTGACGTGAAGAACCCGCCAGACGTAACGGGAACACCGGCTCGAACGGAGCTCAGGGTCGTTCTGAAAGGTAAACCATCAGACTTTCTTTGCTTTCATCGATTCACTGAAATGTTTATTTTATTATTAAATTAATTTTCTATGATGAGAAGCAGTTGGAGGGTTTGTGTTGAAAGACGGATACTGACATGCTTCTTGAATGAACCTGCTTCTTGGTGCTGTTCAAAGAGGATCGTGGCCATGAGAAGATTCCTTCACTTGTATTCATCCACCCACACAACACACACACACAACACACACACACAACACACACACAACACACACACAACACACACACAACACACACAGGCTGATTGGACTGTTGGAGAAAACCCGTTGTAGACATCTGAAGCCTCATTGTGCTGAATCTGATGCAAAGAGGCAACTTTTTTCTTGTCAATTTGACTTTAATTAATTATTATTAACCCTAAACAAATGTCATTAACTGAAAAAGAGCGGCCCCACTTCAGATGAATGAAAACCTGGATTAAAACATGGGTTTGTCTAAATGCTGAATGTGGAAGAACGTAGTGTGTAAATAAAAAAAGGCAGCAGATCTCAATTATTCCATGATTTTGTAATGTTGGGGTCTTTAACTTCAGTTCCCTCAAACACGTCTATTAAATGTAGAACATAAATTATATTGTCTTCATCTCTGAGAACATCTCTGTTAAAATTCTGCCTTCCAGGTTATGAATACATTTAGGTATGTTCTAATTACGCAATTATAATAATTACGCTGCCTCCGTAGTGCTTTTATTTTTTTAAATAAATATTTGGGCAGCATGTGTGTCAGATATTTCCTCAAGCGATAACGATCCTTCATATCTGTTGTACTTAATGTGTGTGTTAAAATTAATTTCCTATGGTTTTAAGTTGTTGAAACCTGCAGAGCAGCGGCCGAGTGTTATTTATTTTATATTTGCCACGTGTGTCTCAGGTTAATCCTCCCTGTTGAACATGTCAGTCAGTGGAAAAGCACTGCGGGTTCTGCTATATGCTAAAATATAAAAGGCGTGCCAACCCGGAGCCGTCACACGGGAACATTCCTGTCGTATGTACATGAAGCTTGCGGCCGCGTGTGATGGCTTGTTATCTCACCAGTTGCAGATCCGCCCTCCAGATGGAACTTTGTTTTTTATTTAACCACTGATCGTCTGAAAAGCTGCACAGTCCCGACATGAAAACACGCCGTGTCCTTCTCAGAAGTTGTTTGACTACAACTTTTCGTTCCTCCTCTCACAAAGAGCGGTCTTGGGATTTTTCCAAAACACACAGACCTTTTGTTTACTGGCGGACGACCAGGTATCTGTGACACTCCCAGCTGAGGGTTATAGTTTGTAGGAGGAGGAGGATGCATCATACTCGACCTTAAAGTTAAAGTTTTACTTAAAGTTTTTTTGTTGAAGTTATTGCTTATTTATACAACATTTAAACAGAGTAAATGGAATAAAATAATTGAATGTGCTCAAGCGGAAGAGTTTAAATGTGTTTTCTATTACAATTTAAGTTGAAGTATTTATGTGTTTTGTAATTTACGATGGACACTTGTCTCTGTCTTGAACTGTGGAACAATAATATATCGAGCAGCTACGCTTCAGTACAGCAGCCGTTGTTCCAGTTGTTGGAAATGTCAATTTGATATTTGAAACCCGACCCTGATTGTTGTCCCTTTGTGTCTCCTCCGTGTCCAGAGTCTCTTCCTCAGCTCAACACCAGCCTTATAATTGGAATAGTGTGTGGAGTTTTAATTCTGCTCATCCTCATCGGGATCGCCGCCTGCATCGCCATGAGGGTGTTTCAGAACCGCCACGATTACGAAGGGTGAGCGTCGTCTTACTTGTTTATTTATATATCGCTGACAATAACGCTTCTGGAGCGAGTTAACAAAATAAAAAAACTCCAGCATTTATCAAGTGACCATTGCTGTATTTGAAATGTGAGGTAGATTCCATTCATTCACTGGTTTCTTGTATCTTTACTTTTAACTTTATTCCCTCTGAGATTTAATCATCAAACCGTAACACTCCTCTAACTCTTTGCATGGGTGCCGGGTTCACTCTCCTGTCTTTAGACAACACGCTGTGCATTCTGGGCTGTTTGGATGATCTGACGTTTTTTTAATAATCATTAACTAATTATTATTTTTGTTAAAGACATCGTCAAAATAAAATAAAAAAACATACAACATAGTTTTTCGCTGTGTATGCTTAGACCACGCCTCCCTGCCACTCTGTTCGTCCTCCGTGATCACTCATTGACCCATAAACACGAGAAACGCCACCGACGGAGGAGCCAGCTCCTGATTGGCTGTTGAATGGTTCCAGCCTGCGAGCCGAAGACGCAGCCGCCACCAGGGGTCGCTGTTTTTCTCTGGTGCCAGTCACTTTCCTCCATTACACTGTGTTAACACGTCTAACGTCACGGCAACGCTTCTTGTCCAATCAGCATGTCCTCTAATCAGCGTTCGTCATCTTTCTCCACCAACAAAACTAACCCTCACGTGTCTGTGTCCGACTAACTCACCAGTGTTCTCTGTGTTTTAAACAAACGGGTTTTGTTGTCGAGTTGTTTTCAGTCACCTTGAAGTGACAGAACAAGGTCGTGTTAGAAGCCGAAGCTCTGTTGCACCTTCTCTGTTACCGTGTCTTTGCTGGAGGTGCACTGATGAGCTGCTTTTATACATTTCTTTGATTCATTAGTGGATGGTCTGATGCATGAACTGTTGCACTGCAGCTAATGATTTCACCACTAACATCATATGTTAATACACTTTATTGGTGGAGCACATTTTTAGAAAATTGGTTAAATACAGATAAATCCAAATGGTTTACTCGCTTTCTCCTGCAGATCTAAACCTTGCTCCCTTTGCCTCCATTTGAGAATAGACACTAGCTGCATTTTATAATGTGAGAACACGTTCTTAGAAGCAGCATCAGTCACTTAAAATCATCTGTGCTCCTCTAGTTTCCCAGAGTCTGTCGCTGCTTTCATTATCTCTGTCACACTCCTGGGAGCTGCCATGCACTCTGTTTGCATTCTGTGTCTCATGTGCTCATCTCTCATTGTTTTTATTTTTTATTTTTGTCTTGTGTCCCATTACTCGCGTTGACTGTGCACCAATGACGGCAAATCGTAAACCTAAACTAGATGTACGTCCTTGGAAAGCATGAGCTCTCAGGCTCCGCAGCCACGAAAGAAGGTGGAGTCAGGCCTGGAGGGCTCCAAGAGTACCATTCCCCTGGGTCCGCTACAGGTAGGAGCAGGGGACAGAGGAATCCACTGGCTGCCTCCATTTTACTGGGGATCTGTTGTATTGATAAAAGTTAATCCTTTATGATATCCACTGATGCGATAAAATAACCAATATTTGATTTAGATAAATCATAAAAACCTTTCACTATGTCATTAAGTTTATATATATATAGCACATTTCCTAAGAGGTTTGACAAGGAGCTTTATCCAAACAGAAAAAGCTGCATGAAAAGGTAAAAACATATATATAACATATATATAAAATACCAGGAATATGATTTAGATAAATCATAAAAACCTTTCACTATGTCATTAAGTTTATATATATATAGCACATTTCCTAAGAGGTTTGACAAGGAGCTTTATCCAA